AAACAATCTTCCTTCACAATGACAGCATTATGCACAGTGAGACGCTTGTTCCAAATCCCTTCAACAAAATGCTCAACATTGATGGACATTCGATTGATTGCCTGGAGCCCTACAAGAATGGCAGTGGCGGCTTGCGGGACCGAGACTGCGTTGCCCAATCCATGAAACGCTTCGAACGGGTCCGAAGGCAGCGAAATGCGGTTGGTGCCTCCCAATAGTGCTACAATCCGAGCTGGATCGATGAAAGCGAAAGAACCCTGGTATTCCTCCAAGCAAGCAAACAAACCCTTATTGGCAACATGGTCCGGATCCAATTCATGTTGTTTACCGTACATGGCACAAAAGGTCGGAAGCGGTTCATGCAGTGGGGCAGCTCTCTGTGCGAGGACTTGCTCCTGGGAACGGTCCGACATGCATCTGGCCTTCTTCGAGGGAGGCAAAAGGTGATGCGCACCATAGATGGTCTTCAGGTCATTTGTCAGGTGAAGTGCATCTCGAAATTCCTGAGGCAGATAAAACCGATAAATGGAGTCATGCCATGAAACCCTTGACGAAGCTTGGAGTACATATGCACGCTGATTGGGATCGAACGAGTGATCTGCACGGATCCAAGCCGAAAACCACCTATCCCTGTGGTTATCTGACAGACGATGAAACTGAAGATTCTGTTGCCAGATGCGCTTATATCCTCCTAATTTGAGCATGTGTGAGACCAACCCAAAGTGCTGATGATGAATGATCTCATCAGCGCATTCGAACAGTTGAATGCTCGGGCGGAGAACAAAGACTATGACCAGCGCTTCGATGAATGCATATCCAGCATCTGAGTTGAGGCCCTTCGACTTTCCTGCTTTGCTCCAAGAAACGCAAGGTGGCGATGCCGTACCAATCGAGTTCATTCGAAAATCGACCTGATGGATCAAGGAAGTGTCCCCTACCGAGGTGCAAACCCCTATGTGTCCACACGGATTCCATGAGCGAGCTGGTTGGGATTTGCCAAGATGATGTGGTTTACCAACCTGGTGGGACCACAAACTCATCGTGACTGGGTCACTGTCAACGCATACTTGTTGCCCCAATGGCGGAAAGGAAACATCATGAAAGATGGCTTCCATGGCTTGAGACCAACCATTGAATGATCCAGCAAAAAGGTGAAAGGAATTCACCGGGATGCTCCAATCCCACTCGGCCACTGGGACGATACACGTGTTCGCCTCAAAATGAAAACCATTCTCATGCTCGGATTCAATCTTGCCAAAAAGGGTGACGGAATCACCCACACACATGTTGTGAGCTCTCGTGGAAAGGAGCGGCACATGTACATCCCATGGAGCATGCGGCTTCACCACAAATCCCAAACCCGGTTGGAAGAAGTGCGGACACAGCCTCACCAAATCACCTTCAGTCGACACAACACTACCCTGAAGCAAGCACTTATTGGAAAATCTGATCATGAAACCAGGTGTTCCCAAAGCACCAGCAACATCCAACAGCTTGGATTTCCACGGGTCCACAATCTTTTTGGCGATCATTGACATCAATCGACTCAGAACTTCGTCACCATGGCCTGTCGATACCACATGTGAACTCATTGCCACTCAGACCGAGATGCGGCCCGGGTGCAGGGCCACTTAGTGGACACCACCCCCCGATCGCGAGATCAGGCCAGTGGCCCTAGGTGTCTCGTGCACCTTCAGCCCCACGGCCTTGAGCCTAGAGAGCTAACATGTCTATACTGTTCATGATCCGTGGGCATGACAGGGTCGAACTTGAGAAGAAATATAAATTAGGGTGCCCCAAATGAATGGTTTATGATTAAACAACCCATGACAATGGATGACTTGGAGGTCCCCCATGTATGGAAACCCTCAAATGAATTGACCCACGATTGATGCTGGTAGACCCTGCACCATTACCCCTTACGAGTACCATTTGAGATGGCGCATGCAGTATTGTTCCTTCAACAGGAGCTGCATCAGTTACGGTTTCCTGGCGCAAATGGTTTCCCGGAGCTCCTGATGTTGACTGGCTTTCTTTGTCGGCAAACAAAAAGGTAGAACCAACATGAACCGCCGCGACTGCGACAGTGACTTGGGCAAACTCACAGGTTTTCCTCATCCAAGAAAACGTCATCCAAGTCGCAATGCGAAGCTCCGTCATGCTCTCCGCACGCGAGGGCCTGTGCAAGTTGCCAGTCTACCCAAACTGGGAGCAAGAAATTTGAACAAACCCTACAGAACCTCAATCCCTAGGGAACCAAGTACCTTCTCAGCAGGTGATTGGAGACACCGCTATGTAGGTTTGGAGGGTCCAAGTACCTTCTGAGAAGGTACGTGGATCCCTAGGGAATATGAACTGTGATGTTCTTTGGGGTGCTTAGGCCCTGTACCCTCAAGGAAGAGCTTCACTTCGAGGCCGCTTCACGGACTGCCCCCGATGCTTCTACGGACTGCCCACTGGATCACTGGAGGTTCTTGAACGTGTTCCAAGTCCCTGAAAATCTGCCCACACAGGTGTGGCCCATGGGCAAATATCAACGACTCATCTCAACTTTCTTTGGAAACAGAACAATGACATACTACATGTTTGTCGATCAAAAAACATCAAACAGTATGTGTTTCTCTATGTCTTATGTTTCACAAATGACAAAATCATGGTGCATCCCAAATGGCCCATGCATCGCGGTCATGGGGGTGATGGTGAAGCAAGCATGGGTGGAATGGATAAATTTCCACCTGGCGACATGAGATGAGACGCGAGACTGGATTCATACTGAGAAACGTGTTGCTTGACTCTGAGGAAATTGGTCTGTCAAACACCAGACTTCCCAAAAAAAGAAAGCAAGCAGCAAAGTTCATTATTGAGAGAGACTTCCAGATCCTCCTAAATGCTGGGTAGTTCACCCCACCTGGAGATCTCCAGATTTATACTTGGAATCAAATGCACCAACACAGCACCAGGACACGATCTGTTCTGGTAGCGCCCTCTCCATTGAAAGACTTCAGCCAAGGGTGCCAAGTGCCAAGTATTACTAAGCTCATCTAAGTTCCAGTTATGTTTGTCCAGGCAGTATCTCTTCAATGATGTGTTAAACGCCTGCTGATGTTCTATGCCCCCCCAAACCACAAACAGGGCTGGGTTTGGCAGCTCATTCCACCCAAAATCACATCGGCACCCCAGCGCCAACAACTGCTACCTTAACCCCCAACCCTCATGACAAGCTATGCTCTCTCCCGCCCAGCCAAGCGCCAAAAGTTCCCGCACGGCCAAAACTTGCCACGGTTCCTCCCCCATGTAGCGTCCTTGCTCCTAGTAGTAAGGCCAGGAGCCCCTAGTAGCTTCTTGTTCCTAGTAGCGATGCCAGGAGCCTCTAGTACCGTCCCACTGTCTTCTTCACAGGGACAGTCCGACGGGACGCTTTTTTCAGGTCACGCGACCGGCACAGCGGGGGGTCACGCGCGAAGCTTCGGAGGTCACGCGCCTCCTCATGATGGGAGGTTTCTGGAGAAGCTTTTGAACCTCCTGCCGTTCTTCCTCAATCTCCTTTCAAGCGACCAATCTCGGGGCGACAAATCTTCGCACATGTGGTGGTTGATGTGGCAGGATGCGAATGAGACATGGAACCGTTTTGTTGCCGGTGTGGGTGGGATCTATGAAATTGGCATCTCCAGTCTCCAGGTGTTGAGATATGTGCTTCGATTCATTCTGTCCCTTGAAGTCCGTTGCAGCTTTAAAAGGCTTGACCCAAAAGCAACCAGCTGAGAATAGTGGAAGAAACGCTCAGAGAAACATGTGTTCCAACATGTTTCCAGCACGGTCTCTCAATTAATGCAAAAGTTCTTGTGGTAGAAGAACCAACGGATGTTCAGTGTCCTCCAGGTTGGTTTATGGACCTTTATGGACGCGTTTTCCCTTGTTCCTCTTGCGGGGGCTGACGATCAAATGATATTGAACGGCAATGCTCAACTTGCGGACCATCAAGGTTCTTGGAGACTCAAGCGGATAATTTCTTGGTTGAAACCGTTCAATTAAGTGAGATTGAGTCACACTCTGATAAAGGTATTTCGACTTTGTATGCATCAGCTGCTATCAAATTCCCTCCCCTCACAATCTATAACCCCACTGCTTTTCCGATTGTCTCACTGCCTCCTGAGGAATCTGAGGAGCCTGGGCTGCTACCCATGGTTTTCCCTCTTGGAGTCCTCCTGTTGTTGCTGCAACTTGGCGAGCTTCTCTTCCAATTCCTGGCCACCGGCGGACCGGCGGATGGCTCGGCGGAGATGGCGCCACTCGTCTTGGAATCCGAGAAGAGGACTCAGTAGAGGACGCTAGGAACGGAGCAAGGACGCTACTAGCGGTTGGAGGGAACCGGATCCACAGGAAAACAGAAGGTATGACTGGGCCCATATCCTGGCTGGTGCCTACTTACAGTAAATGGACTCCAATCATCAGAATGAGGTTCGGTATGTGGATCCATAGGGAACATGAACCAACAGCGTCAATATGTCAGCATGTCTGTGAGATACCCTCCTAGCAGTCTGTGATCGTCCAACGATGTTCTGCTCCGCTAATTACTTACTTTGGTGTAGAGTTTTGCATTAGATCCACACCCATCCGAAAGCAAAAGACCCACGAAGCCGTGAGAACTGCAGCAATATGGTGTGCTCCAGAAAAACTTGAAAGCTACCCGCATCGAACGCCTGCCACAAGTGATGGAACACTTTCCACCAGCCTCGCTCACTCGCTCCATCATCAACTGGACCAACGGGACCAACTCTCGCTCCATCCCAGCACTATTTTTTTGACGCGTGAGCTCTACACGGGTCTTCGTGAGGCTCTACATCACAAAGACCCAGTCCGGCCACGCATCCCGGCTGCTCTTTGAACCGGTCAGGGGCACTTCATTTGAGACCAAGTCCCAATCATGGGAGTCTCTCAAGTATTGTGATCACCAAATAGATCGAAACGGTTTCCAGTGGTTTCCAGCATACATTTTTATCGCGCATCTACTTTTCTATCTATTTGGGTGTCTATATCAAAGCAATATAGCCTTTGGCCGTGCAACCAGGCCGCTGCCTCGACTCTAAAGGCTCGTGCTTTCCTCTCATAGAGGCTCGGACGAAAGCACCACGACCCTCTAGGTCGGACCGTGCTAGAGGGTCGGACGCCAAAGGTCAACCGGTTTTCCAGCTCCCAACGTCTCCCACCGTCCAGTGTGGATGCAGAGTTTCGGTCCAACGCGTCTCCGGTGAGCTACGGTTTGCTCGGTAGACCCTCTGGCTCCAGGCTCCCACATCCCAAGTCGGTTCATTGGGGGTGCCAGGACTCTGTCCCTTCATGTCCCGGACCGGATGTGGGTCAGGAGCCTGAGGACTCAAGAGAACGTTGCTACGAACTACGAACCACCTCTTTGTTTCCCCGCAATGAACACATGCAAAGGTTGCAAACCCGCGGAGCGCTGTCAGCTTCTAACATACAGCTGGCAACTTGCCAGTGGCTTTCGCTGAATTTCACACATCTGAAGAAGCCCACCAACGGAAACTCGAACTCAACTGCTGTTCAGCTGCTTAACACTTACCGTAAGAACCCCTAAGTGTGTCAACACTGTTTGGGGAAAAAGACGTCAATTTCCGAGCTCCACCTCTTACATGACCTCAGATCGATGAGATCCACAGCAGTACTATTGGAATTTAGGAAACGACCCTGCAGGAAATACACAACCATGAAGGTAAAGTTGCGAGAAACAAACTATCAAACTATCCCTTTTGTATGCAAGTCCATTGTTGAGGGCTTGCACCCCTGTTTTCTTCTTTGCTTAGTTATCTCTTTCGTGTCTCCACCCTGTAGCCTAGCATCAGGTCCACAAAGGTAGCAATGAAACTCACCCGCGGCTGACCCGTTCGTTAGCTCGCCGTAGCGCGGCGAGCTACCTCGTCTCAGCTCGGGCCGCTGAGCAATGGAAACAACTTGTTGAATTCATGCTTTGTTTTTATCTTTCCCATAGGGATTCAGTCGTACCTTCTCAGGTACGGTGAAGAAGGCGACACTGCAATGTAGGTGCCAGGAGGGTCCAGTCGTACCTTGTGAGAAGGCACTTGGATCCCTAGGGCCCTAGGGTTTCTGTTGGTATCTTCTTATTCTTTTCTTTCACTCCACTTCGAAGTGAAAGACCTCGTGGCGACCGAGCCAACTTCGAACCCTCGGCACGTCGGGCAGCTCCAAGGGGACGTACTTCGGCACGTCCTGAGGGTGGCAGGAGGCAGGTCCTCGGAGCTCCTGGGTATACCGAGCCTGTGGGGGCTCGAGCCTGGTTCATTCATTGTGCTTGTTGTTTTCTTGTTTTGTGGTTGTTGTTCTTCTCTTCCTGTGGGGGCAGGAGAAGAAACGAAGGTGCTCCAGGTGATTGGTGTTTCAGATGTCTTCTTGACGAGCAGTTCATATGAGAAAAGGAGAAACCAGTAGCCACGTTTTGATCAATGGCTGGCAAATCGATCATCTTATTCAGTGTGAAGAGTGTGAAGATGTTGAAATGAGATCCAACAAGGAGTTCTGAGGAAGAATTGATATACATCCTGAATGGATGAACTTTGAGCTGACCTCCAAGCCCCCTGCTTGGGATTGTGCATGTGTCACTCTTCCCAAAATCGGGTAGCCAGCAAGTTAAGCGAATAAGGTTTGTTGGTGTAGCTTTCTGACATGAAAGCGCACTCGAACCCGAGCGCCAAATAAAACATGGACGTCTTCTGCACAATCAAGGCATCTTGGTTCGGGCACCTCCCATCTCCTTCCCATAACTATTCACCATCCAATCAAGAAATGGGCACCATCCATGATGAGACGGGGCTTCAAACATGGCCAGAAACAAGCCGCGGAGAACGAAACACGGTACCTCGCCCCAGTGATCTGATCTGAGCACGGTGCAGGTGCTCCATCGAATACCTTTTTTGTTGTACGAGTATACTGTACAAATACGAAGACGGAGACTGAAACGAACCCCTTACTCTTCAGAGTTATGAGTGAGGTATGGCATAGGGCCTTTTCCAAACCAGCCGACAACCACCGCCTCCCATGTCCACGTCCTCTCACGTCCGGGCCATGTCCGTACCGTCCGTAGACCGGCCAAGTCCCAGCAGCCACGGCCGTCTCAGTGCTCTGCAGCAACGTTTGAGTGGAACGGCGGAAGGAGGTGTGAAAGCCTCGCATGGACCGTCGCCGCTGAACACCGTGACCAAAAGAGACCATGTGTTCCCGGTGAATTCACCCAGAAAATGGAGCAAACCACAGAACATCCTCCGAAAAATGACGGCCAACGCTAGGCTCGCCGGTGCACAGTAAAGCATGGATTCGATACCGGTATCTATAGGAATGCGGAACATCAATTCCGTTGCCTCCTTCCCTGCTTCTTCCGGCACCTCCTAGCCCACCGCAACCCCAAAACCGGACCGGGAAGCAGATCTGCCAAAGCCCAGGACTCGTCTCCACCAGACTCGTCCGAGTGAAGAAGGTCCAAATGAGCCGATCCTGCCGAGCGTCGTCCACGACGGGACTCGTGGAGCGAACGTTTCATCGGGGGGGTCAATGAGTCGGCCATCCCATCGGCCATTGGGGGGGGTAATCTTTGGGTTCCTGATTCACTCCTGACCTGGCAGATAGGAAAAAATACATGAAAAAACAAAGATTGGCCGGGTTGTATACACAGATGTGGCCGGGTTGTATACACGGATGTTCTTATTCAACACGATTCGCAAAGAGTCCCACCACCTGTGCTTTTCGGCTGTGCTCCTGGAGCCGAGCAACTTGCCACGTCTTTGCTCCGTGGGCCGAGCCAAACGAATTAAGCGAAACCGGCAGCCAAAGGGTAGTCCGAGATCGTTTTGGATCTGGGCAGCAAAACATATCAAATGCGCTGGTTTCCATTCATGGAAACCACCAGGTTGTATTTTATGCCTCAAGGGGATGAACATGTATTGGGAATTTGGAATGGGACTCAACAATCGATCTCAAGGAATTGACCACTTGGATTTGCGGTTCCCCGCAAACCGTGAACAGATTAAGACATATTCCCTATGCCAGGGGATTCACCCATAGGGAAAACAAATCATCACCTTAAGCATGTTTAAGCAAAACCATGAAATTTTGTGTCTTGGAGTTGGGATTGATGATGTACATTTGTTGTCAGGAGGGCAACAAAAATATAAAAAAAAACTCATTTTTGGCCTAGATGGCCTAAGGTTGCACATGGTTGCTGTCATTTGGTCGGTTGGGAGGCCGCACATGTTGGATGTCCTGCCAGTTTTGTTTGATGCGCGTTGCATGAACAACTCAAGTTTCAACATGTCTCCCAACATTGTCAGAAACCGCGCTCAAACAATTTGTTAGTTCGTCCTAAGTTCTTCAGAACCGACAAAAAAACTTCCATGCTCAATTTCGGCCAAATATTATTTTGTACGGGACCTTCAAACCAACACCGATTTTGAACATGGTTTCAGGACTGCAACAAATACAACAAATTCCCTCACACCAGTAGTTTTTGGCCCAAAGCACGTGAATCCACCATCCACGCGGGTCCCTCTTCACCACCACACGTTGGGGTTGATTCGGCACATGCCCACGCACCCGCATGACATGCGCCAAAATCCAAGCCTGTCCTCGCTGGTGACATGGGGCATGAAGACCTGGACATCGCCGAAGAAGGCTGCTGACATGAAGGCCACGTCCTGTTGCCTTGCTTCCTCACCTGCCAACGCCACGGACCCCGACGTTCTGAAGAACTATATACATGTTTATGTTGAAGAAAACATATAAGATTGCAAACATATACACACAAATACATTCAACTGAACGCGGCCATGCTCCAGGCCTAAGGTTGAAAGGTTTGATGTCATGGCAAACTGCCCCAGCTTCCATGTGAACCACTAGCGAACCACACAACAAAGCCACGTAAAATCCTAGAATCAACACACCCAACAAGATCCAGAGGCCACCATACTGCATCACCTGGTTCCAAAACCAATCCCACATGGAAACCGCATCGACCAGAAAAAATTGCCAGTCCACCTTCAGCCTCCGCCAGGACATTGTGGAAGAGCACCACGGACTCCTGCAAAACCGCACGCCTCCCACCCCATGCTTGTGGTTTTTTCAGTGAAGTCTGGGCGTTTGCAAGCACATATGGGGATGAGGATGTCAAAGCTCGTTTGTGACCTATGGTCCTTTAGCTTTCTGTTCCCCTATGTAAAGCGCACGCCCCCCCCAGCCCGCTCATCAATCAGCTTAATCATCGACCTTCCTCCGGTCAATCCTCTATGGCTTTGCTAAAGGAGGGCCAACCCATAGTGGACTGTCTGCGCTCCACGCAGTGTTGGAAGCTGGCAATAAGGGCATGTCCATCCGCGACTGCAGCAAATAATGCAGAATGAAAACGACCACTTCCATTCCTTGCCCCTTTTGCTCATGTCGCGAGGTGTCCACATGTATTTGACTTGCATCTCGTCGGCTAGTCTTGGCCCACACACATGAAGAGGTTGTTCAATCCACAATAGAGAAGGGTTATTAATCAATCCTGTGTTCGTCCGAACTTGATATGCCTTTTTGCAGACCTTTTTCGTTCGTAGCTTCTGTACATCTTGGTAGTTAGTTCTTCTGTTTCATGGTTTAGGTAGAGTGACACATCTTTTCATACCTACCGGCACCCCCTGGACAACCTGGGAAGGGGTCGCGTAGGAGCGCTCGTCGACAGACGGTCCGCAAGTTCGCGCATCCAAATGGGGGAGTTAATCATCAAGAGTCTTACATGATCGATCTTTTTACGGGGCGGTTGGGCTGTCCGCCGTCTCTCTGGGCTGTCCCATTCCCGTCCACACGCTGAGCGTATGGAGTGTGGGATGGAAAGTGGAACAGGTGTAAGGAGTTCTTGGAAGCAGAGTGAAAGAACAGGACTCATACGGATGTGTTTGTTTCAGAACAGAAATCACGGACAAGCATTTGAATGGCACATGGTGTTGTTGCTTTTTGTGTTTCCAAGCCCATCTAGACATCCAAAAGATCTTCAAGGAAGGTCCCGGCCCGGCCCAGAAGTTCCAAGTTGGAGTAGATCTGAGATTCGCTCAGTGAAAAGCTTAAGCGAACTTTACACCTGTTCTATCATGTTCTATCTCTCAATTGTGGGGCATCCTCTATCAACCCCAACTAAGTTCGGTGCAGGGTGATCCACGTACTTCCTGATACCCAGGGATCTCATGCTTCTCATACTCACAAATGGATCATTGGCGGTTTCTGAGGCTTGCAAACCACCAAGACCGAACGCAAACCACCTGTCCGCTGACCTGAAAACAAGTCGACCAGGACCTGGGGACTTGTCGTGTCAAATCCTCAGAAACAAACTGTGGTTCTTTGGGGTGAAAGGCATTTCAAACTATAATCAATGGATGGAGTTGGGGTCTGTATATACTCGGCTGCTCAATACAGGTTGATATACAAGTTGATACATTATATTGATCCCTTACCACCCCTCCACACGCAATCAAACATGTTATGGGTGTTGCCTTAAAACAAAAGATGTGCCTCCTTACGGGAGTTGGCAGTGATATCACATCAGCACCTAATGAAACGTGTATGGGGGGTTGGGAGACTGTTCTAAAGGGAAACAATGGGAAACATATTTTCCAACAAGCTGCCATTGGCTGCCACCCCCCAAAAAAAACACTGGTTATGATTTCATGAAAAGACACGGGTGAAACACATGCTGCTTTCAGTACTCCGTTGAAATTTTGAGTACGCCCAGTCATGTCAGTTCTGGGTAACCGGTGCGTGTCACTGGCGCGGTAATACAAAGGTGCTCGTTTTTGACAGATGATTCGTGTCAGATCTGGGTGAGTGTAAAGTAAATCCCGTATCATACTCCCGGCTTGGTCAGTTGGTTGGCTTGGTCAGTAGGTCGGCCTTGAAAGAAATACATCGAGCGATTGCGTGTGCGATGGCGTGCGACAGGGAAGCTGGTCAAAACAAATGGGGGGTTCCATGAAGCAGTACTTCAATCGTCCAAGTTCTTCTTCCTCAGGTAGCGATGACTATCTCTGACTATCCTATTTTCTTGTAATGTATTGTTGCTGAATTAACTCATTGTGTATCTTAGGCGACATAAACAAATTCCCGCACATCGATCCCCAACCAACAAATCACTCAAAAACAAAACACATGCATGCACACTTCCCAGGTGTAAGAAAGGTGGTGAACCGCAAGGTGAAAAGGTCAGCGAAAACAGTATGGTTTAACTTTGTTTCCAGATTGCACTCGATGCATTAGCCGCTTTACTGAATACGTAGCAGACCGCACTGAATACCTAGGACCTAGCAGACCGCCTATGCATTAGCCGCTTTACTGAATACCTAGCAGACCGCCTATGCATTAGCCGTTTTACAGAAAACCTAGCAGACCGCCTATGCACTAGCCCCTTTAAACAGTTTTGCAGGTACGTTTTCACACCTGCCACTGCCGGTCTTCGTTGGCCACAGCAGCAGTGGCAGGTCTGTGGCCCCCTGCTTCTTTTGGTCCTAGTAGTAAGGTCAGAAACTACTAGTAGCACCCAGCCTTCTAGTGGAACCGGCGGTAAAAATTACCAGGTAAAACCTTAGAAACAGGTGTTGACACACACACACACACACTCACCACAAACAAACGTCACCCAAAACGCACAAAAATCCACAAAGCTCTGGGACTTTCCCCCAGCATGGTGACACTCTCCCAAACGCTCGGCCCCCGGTCTCCGCTTGCAGATCGGCCAGCTTCCGGGCGACGTGGCGGCGGTGTTGCCAGCGCTGAAGGAAGGAACTGCGCAGTGAATAGGAATAGCCCAACATCACGACCTGAGACGCTTGAGGCGCTGGAAGGCCGCCAAGGACACGGTTGGATGAGGGATGATGTGTGTAGAAGCGCAAGCGCAGCGTCGTGGCGGCGTGGAATCAGATGGCTGGAGGTGAAGCGAAGACTGCTGTGTTCGTCCACCACAGCTGTTAACAACATGCCCTCATCCAGCAGTCACGTTCGATGGGGTGCGATCCATGGAGGTAGGAGTTGGGTGCCCAGAACATCCACTCACTGGATGGGACTAACCAAACCACCTCGTCTTGTGACCCCTGGATGATCAAAAGGAGATGGCATGTTGGTTTCCTTCCAAGGCAGTGAACACATGCTGGTGGCGTTCCGGATTCACCGTACTATTCACCGTCCCCGTTGCCGTTCGGTGGATAGCTCGTCTAGTCCACATGTTCGGCCTATCCCGTCCTGGTCAGTGGTTGAACAGCGTAGATTGGGCAAGCTTAAGGCTAGGCCAGCCGGCTAGGCCCCTTTCTTTCGGGTTCAGAGGTAAACATCAGGCTTGCGCCCCAGGTTGGAAGTTGGAATGCAAATGAAGTCAGGTCCAAGCTACCAAAAACAAGGCCAAAAGGGACCAGCTTCCCACCAAACAAGACCAAAACAATACCAAATGCAAATGCAAGCTTCTAAGTGCAACCAAACAATACCAAAGAAGAACTGCGCACGAGCCGTAAAGACCTGAGCGAACGGGCCAAGCCAACCGCACTCGCGCTCGAGTTCGGCGCTCCCGTTTGTTATTGGGCGTATCGCGTCGTATGGCGTCGTGACAGTGTTTCTCAGATGCTCATGGACCCGAACCAACTGCTACATGTTTGAGGTCCAAAACCCGAGTTGCGAGGGTCAAAACCCTGGCAAACTGCGGGTCCGAGCGAGGGTACAATGAGCCTTTGGGTTAGGGCTTTTGGCCCCACCGAACCGACAACGGAGGTCGGAGGGATGGGGCCCGAGGTCGGAGTATATGGACCGATCGGTTGGGGTGATGTTTGAGGTGTTTTACGGGTCAATGTATACAAGTAAATACCCGGACCGTCCAGTTCGTACCGTACAAAACGGGACATGGCCGACATGGCCCTTAAGATGAGTAATTATAAGTTTACAAATCCTGAGGCCTGGAAACACAGAAACATGGACGGTGCGACCTTGGTTCATCTCCCGCTGGTGCAAGACAAAGAAGATGATCTTGGGTATATACCAATATCATGTATATCCTGCCTGGGCCCAGTGGATGATGATAGGGTTAGGTACCAGGCGAGACCCTCAAAAAGAGTGATAACTGACAAACCGTCTCTTACAGGAAATGGGACACCCCCAAATCATACCCAGACACTCCATGTATGCCATATATGCCTACATTGGGGTGGTTTGGGGGGTCAATGTAGGCATATATATATATATAAGGCATACATTGAGTGTTTGGTATATGGATGGACATATTCTCTGAGAGGGGTGATTGGAGAGGTTTTTATGTATATAGGTCATAACTTCCGAGAAGGTGGCAGTGGATTTCTAGTGAATTTCCTTCATTCTGCCAGTGTTGGGATTTCATGGGCTTTCTGATTCCTCCACTAGAATCTTCTCTCCAAGGTACCCAAGCGAACAGAATGGGCATCAGCACAATAATGATCAAGCCGAACCAGGTTAAGCACCGCCCAGACCACGCTGTCTGAGTTACATTGATCCTTGGCTGTCCAGCTCGGTTCTTTAGCTGTCAGGTTGAACTATAGACTATAGTGGTTTAGTCAGAAATTCCCTTCAAAACCCAAAACGACGTTTGTGGGATTTGGACATGTCAATACACGTCTACCCACCAATCATGTGTTCCTTGGACTAGATACGTCTACCAGGACCCACTGTCGGGGTGGCTAATGGACACCCCGAATCACCTCTAAAAAGCTATAACAAAAAGCTATAATTAGACACCCCTCGCCCGGGGGGTCCTGGCAGGGTCTTCTGGTTGAGTACGTCAAATCTGCATGAGTCAAGTCTCGATGTCACCAAGGTCTCGTCGTCCAGCTGCGCTTGCCAAAAGCTCCGGAGACGCTCCTCGTGACGAGCTCCGCGGGAGCTCCGCGGGCGTCGACATGGAGTGACCCAGAGGGGATGGCGGAGGAAACGTCCTGTTTGCCCTTTTTCGGACGTCAGCTAACATATTGCACATGCCAAACTCTAGAAGGAAGTCTTTGGGATTTGATTCCCAAAAAGAGTGTGTGATTCTTCGGAGAAGGAGCGAATGACATGGAAAGGCCCCAGACACGACCGCTTATGTGGGACTGGCATATTCACCGCATCGGGGTGGTTGAGTCCCAAGGAGCTCCTGGTGCCCCGACCATCACATCCACTCGTCGACTTCAAAACCAACCCAACTCCTGGTGACTCCTGGCAGATGGCAATTGTGTTTGGGTACTGAAAGCACCGAACTGGAGGACCACGACACCCCAACAAACCACGGACGCGGGGGCGGCTTCTGCGCGCCAAGTCAAGGCGTCGTAGCGAGAAGGTGGGAGGACCGGGAGAGTGCCGTCCCAAAGACATTCTGAGGAGGTACGACTGGAGTCCTAAACTGTTCCATGCACAAACTCGCGAGAAACTCCTGTAGTGATGAATCCACCTGACAAGGCATGGTGCCCAACCCACCGAACTCACCCAACTCGTTGAACTCAACTCACCGTGCCTTGTGTTCTGCCCCAAAAAGTATGTTTGGTCTTCAGACAAACCGCCCTCCGAACTCGGGGCCATGCCAGGCCACATCTATTTCCCTGTGACTTCCAGGGACTCTATAAACTGTATATACTAGCTGGTGCCCTGGAGACTGTATACTCCATGGCCTGTATACTGCAGGGACTCCACTTCCGGCATCAATCGGTGCCCTGCATATCCCTGCATGCCTCTCTCTTCAGTCCCCCTCCCTCGCGCCTCGCTGAGTTCGACCACGAGGACCTCGCCGTCATCTCGCCGAGCAGCTTGGGAGATGCGCTGCAACAGCTCATCCAAACGACCAGCGGCGGTGTTGAAGGTGACCCACCGAAGCCTCAGAAGAACTCCGAAAAAACAAAGAAGAGGCAAATGCATGCAATTGGGCTATTTTTTCGATGCATCCAATGGCGTGAAATGGACTGGGGGAGAGAAATGAAGGACCTTTTGGACGGTTCAGATCTTTCCTGCAGTTTGTTTGAAGGGTCCACACCTGGATCCACTCATCCCCTGCAGACAGGCTGAGGTGGGGGTACTAGTGTCCCGCCAGTTCCGCCAGTCCGTGTTGCATGGGGATTGAGCCCCGGAAAAAAAAAAGAAGCGCGTAAGGCGCCACCAGACCAGGGTGCCCTCTCAGGTAGGGCTATGTTATGTGTGAAAAGTTGTGTTTCTGCTTGTTCGACACTTGCTTTCTTTGTACGTTTTTGCCGTTGGATTCCCAACTTCGACTGGGCCGGATTCCCTGCATGATCCAATTGCTTCATACTAGGATGACTTGGGATGATGAAGCGTGCCTCACTATAGGATGACTGTGCACGAATACCTTGTGGCCAGGAAATAGTTGAACAATTGGTCGACCTTGTTTCTGATTCTACCAACGAGAAGAACAGTTAAGCATGTCAAGACTCAATCAAACCTTCAGCCACCGCCCTTTGTGCCTCACCCAGCTGCACCCAACAACCCATCCTAAACCGGACCGGTCCCATCAGCTCAGCCCTGGTATCGCGCCAACTAGAGCTGGCAGGCCGTCTTAATTGCTAGGACACCACACACCACACAACGGCCGGCCTATATGAGTGGGACATCACCTGATGGACTCCAAGGAGCAAAAAGATGAAGCAATAAAGCATCAGCCCAAATCCAAGAGCTAGAAAGACATCCGACAGGCCACGAAATGTCTGGTGGCAATCGGTGAAGAGGTACATGACATATCCTTGGCGAGACGAGCGAACGGGCTCGTCTGCGGTCTTTCTTGGAAGCTGCTGTGTTGCTCATAATAAGTTCAACAGTTCAACATGTTAAAATAGGTGCTGCTTGAATCTTATAGAAATCATCAGAAATCCATAAAAATCCAACAGAAAAACAAACACATCCATACACTGCGCTGCTTGAGGCTTCAAGACAAACCCGTAGACTCTGTAGACCCATTCACCGAACTTGTACCGAGAGGTCTCTTGAATCTCTTGAAGCTTTTCAGCTTTTCAACACCGAGAGGTCTTGAGGATTGGAAGCGATGGAGACTCTCCACGGGCTGTTGTGCCATGTTTCTCTCCAGGGGTGAACACTTGGAAGATCCCTGAACTTCCAAACAGCCACTCCCCCCTCCATGTGTACATGTGACCGCCCGGCCGCCGCGAAGAAGGTGCCTTCTGCCCACACGCGGCGCGCCGGACATCCCGAGCATCCCGAAAAAAAGATCAGCACGCCGAAGACGAAGGCGCAAGCCATGCGGGTGAGCACCTTCCGCTCGCGGGTGTTGGACTTGCAACACGCCCGTGCGTAGAGCAGGATCAACATGAGCCTGGCTAGCTATGAGTCGCGGAGAGCAGGGTATGGAGATTGGGGGCACATGCAGTTTGCCATCAACAACTGGGAGTTGTTCACAGACTTCAACTGCCCAAACTATTTGAGTGAAATAAAACAGGTTTGTCTTGCTGAAAGGATGGGAACCAGTGGGCTGCATACTTTTCATCTCGATGGGGGTTCGTCTACACAGATTGCATCCAACTGCCTGATCTCACCATATTTTGTTATGAGTTTTGCTTTGTGCCCAAAGAGAGCTTAGACCTGTCGCAAGTTGGGTCTTGCAGGTCTCGCACCGCCTCCATGAACACGGAGATAGACGTCCTGTTTCGTCTCAAGCTTAACTCGATCTGACCAACTCATGCCAATAGATGGAACAACCCCAAGGGTCAAACCGTCTATAAGTATGAGTATGTATGAGTTCATTCTCAGCGTGAGCCCTCAGCCTGGCACACCTGCACTCTGCACCTGCAAATCTTCAAGACATTCAGTAGTACTTGGGTTGTTTCATGTTGTTTCCATCCAATGCTTCTCGATGACATGCTACTTCCCAACGCTTGTAATGGTACTTGCCACTGAGACCATCCATTGACCAGGCTTGTCCGATTGTTCGAATCGAAAGGCATCGCATCCCCCGTTCTTCCCAGGGAGAAAACGGGCCGTCTCCAGGAAGCACATGCATGCCCAAGAGAGGTTGAAAGACCTGAACTAGGACCCGACGGGTCGTGGTACATATATGGGACAGGCACCCTAGGGCTCCGATCGTCCTATCTCAGGTGACCCGTGGTATTCGACCCCCCTGGCACCCACCCCAGTCCCATCTTCGAAACGGAGGTAGGACAGGAGCCCTATAAGGATAGTTCAACCGTTCTAGGTGGCCGAAGGTGTGGAGTCTAAGGCGTGACTGCATCGCGTGACCGCCTTGACCTCTCCAAGCGGCACGATGTAGGTGAAGACAGATCCACTGACGCCCCAAACCTCTCCAAAGATATACTCCCATTTCCTCATCACACGTCAAAAACGTCAAGTACGTCTACGTGACACGAAAAAATGAACGGAACAGCCATCTATGAAAGAGTAGTGTGGAACAGTCTTCTATGGTAGGGCGTAGCCCTTATAGCCATCGCTTCCTGGATAGACAAAGTGTTCCGAAGATCTCATCCAGTTCCTCCTGGAAAGGAATCCAACTGTTGGTTTTTTTCGCCCAGGTGCAAACGACCAAGCAATCCAACCACCAGCGATTCCAAAGGGGTGAACTCACCATCCCCAGCGACCATGTCACTGGAAGAGATGAAGCCTATAGCTATATATATATATAGGCACCTCTCGCTTCGTCTGCACTTCGTTGTTAAGTTGATTGGGGACCGTCGTTCGTTGTTTCGGGGGAATTAGCGCAGAAGAAGTGTTTTTGACCCTTGCGGACCTCTGAAGAATTGGTTGTTCAGAACTAAGAGAGGGTATAAAACACGTCTTGTTTGTTTTGCGTTGTTAGTGTCAACATACGAGACCCAAAGGACTATTTCATAGGTTTGTTTGTCTCGTGAGTGGTGAGTGAACGGCCATGGTAAAAGCTTTGTAGACGTTGTAAACCTTTGTAAATTTGTTTGTAATTCAACAACTCTGTCAACTCGTTGCAAAAGTTGCAACCTTGTACAAATTCTTAAGACTTTGTGAAAGTTTTGTAAACTTTGTATAGCTTTGTAAAAATATAAAACTTTGTAAACGTTCTACAACCTGTGTAAAACGTTGCTCTAACTTTGAAGAATAATTTGAATAACTCCAAAACTTCGTAAAAGGTTTGTAAACCTTTTTACAAAGTTTGCGAATTTTACAACGTCTTAATAAAGTTTTACCAAGTTCTTACAAAGTTTTACAAGTTTAAAGGTTGACAAAGCTTACAAAGTTTGACAAAGTTTAAAAATGTTTTGCAAAGTCTACAAAGTGTTGACAAAGTTTACCAAGTCTATACCAAGTTCACTACGTTTTTACAAAGCTTTCAAAGTTGGTACAAGGTTTACAAAGTTTTACACAGATTTTATGAAGTTTGCAAAGTTTTACAACCGTTTATCAAGTTTACAAAGTTTTACAAAGCCTACAATATTTTAACACAGTTTACACAGTTTTGAGCAATTTCCAAAGTGTACCCAGTTTGCAAAGGTTTTACCATTAAAAAATCAATTAAAGACGTATTGAAAGTTTTACAATGTTGCTGCAATGTTGACAAAGTTTTTACAAAGTTTACACAGTTTTGCAAAGTATTGAAAGTTTACAAAGCTTGAACGAAGTTTATAAAATTTTTACAAAGATTGCACATTTTACAATTTTTACATGGAGTTTTTACAAATTGTACAAACATTTGCAAACTTTACACAGTATTTACATAGTTTACAAAGCTTTCACAACATTTGCAAAGTTTATACAGTTTACACAGTTTTTGCACAGTATTGAAAGTTTACAACGATTTTTCCCATCTTTGGAATTTGACAAAGTTCTTGCAAAGTTCAGAATTTACACAGTTTTTCAATTTTTACAGAGTCTACAAAGTCTCACAAAGTGTTTACAAAGTTTTCAATTTTTACAAAGTTTACAAAGTTGTACAACGTTTTTACAAAGTTTACAACAGCTTTTTCAAAGTTCTTACAAAGTTTACAAAGTGTTGACAAAGTTTACAAAGTTTGTACACAGTTTACAAGGTTTTTACAAAGTTTTTACAAAGTTTACAAAAGTTTTTCAAGTTTGCAAAGTTTTTACAAAGTTTACAAAGTCTTTACAAAGTTTTACAAAGTTTTTACAAAGTTTACATAGTTTACACAGTTTTTACAAAGTTTACAAAGTTCTTACAAATTTTACAACGTTCTGACAAAGTTTGCGACATTTGCCTTTTGTTACACAAATTTACAAAGTTTTTACAAAGTTTACAAAGTTTTGAAGATTTTGGAAAGTTTACAAAGATTTTGCCAAGTTTACGAAGTCTTGCAAAGTTTACAGAGTTTCGACAAAGTTTACAAAGTTTTGACAACGATTACAAAGTTTTGATAGTTTATCTATTTGCAAAGTTTACAAAGTTTCTTTCTACATTTTACAAAGTTTTTACAAAGCTTGTACAGTTTCACAATTTGTACAAAGTTTTTAGGAATTTACAAGGTGTTCAAAGTTTACAAAGTTTTCACAACGTTCACAGGGTCTTTCAAAATGTTTACAATGTTTTGACAAAGTTTACGAAGTTCAAAAACGTTTTACAAAGTTTGCAAAGTGTTACGAAGTTTATAACGTCTTTTTTAAATAGAGTTTACGAAGGCCTACAACATCTAAAAGTTGTTTACAAAGTTTACAAAACGTTGGTACAAAGTGTACAAAGTTTGCAATGTTTACAAACTTTTTGACAAAGTTCACAAAGTTTTGACAAAGTTTACAAGTGTTTACAAAGTTTTGACAAAGTTTTCGCATTTTACAATTTTTTAAACAAAGTTTTCGCAGTTTTGTACACAGTTTTACAAAGTGTACAAAGTTTTTACAAAGGTTTACGAAGTTTAAACTGTTTCAGTGTTTCAAAATATTACAATTTTAACAACAGTTTACGAAGTTTTGACAAAGTTTGCAAAGCTTTTTTCAATCTTTACACAGTTGTTGCAGAGTTTTGAAAGTTTACAAAGTTTGAGAATTTCACCAAAGTTTCTACAAAGCTTACACAGCTTTTACAAATTTACAAAGTATTTACAAAGTTTACAAAGTTCTTACAATTTTACAACGTTTTGAAAGTTTCAAATAATAAAGTTTACAAAGTTTTGACACAGATTGAAAAAATCTGAAACTTTGTAGAAAGTTTGTAAGCATCAAAAACTTTTGTCAAAGCTTTGCAAAATTATGTAAAATTCCAAAACTTGTTCAAAGCTTGATAAATGTCCAAAGCTTTGTTCAGATATCTAAAGGTTCAATACTTTGTAAAAACTTCGTAGTTCCAAAGTTTTGTAAAATTCAATGTACTGTAAGTTTACAAAACTTTGTGAAGTTTGTTATTAACTTTGTAGACTTTGTTAAAACTTTCTAATGCAAAAACTCGGTAAACAAAGTTGTAATTCCAAAACTTTGTCAGTTTTTTGTAAAGATCCAAAACTTTGTAAACACTTTGTAGGAAGTTTGTTTGAAGACCTGCGAAAGCTGTTCAAGAAGAGCTGATCTTTGGATCAGTGGGACTGCTTGCATTTTTTTGTTTAAAAAACGGCATTTGGTGCTTGCGCTTTGGGAATTTGTGACTGATGGCTGTAGTGTTTCAGGGTATTGAGGGTGAGAAGAAGGGTCGAATGGTTATTGGTTGTGCAAGTGTTTTAAGACTTGGCCACGGAAACACCAAAACACTTCTTTCATATTTTCCAAATAACATTGGTGCAAAACACTTCTTGCGAGCAAAAACACTAAACTCAAGCAACTTAACAAGCTTCGTCTGTGGAACAGCACATCCGAAGAGGTTGCAATAGCCATCACCCCAGCAAACCAGGCACTCGTCTCCTACCCCGCGAGCGCGCGCGCGATATCTCGCTGCCGACCCGACAACAAGGATTCAATAGGCGCGGCGCGGTTGCCGTGGGTATGGGAAGAAACCAGGAGCCTGGTGGTTCTACTGCTACTCCGGGACCCAAAATGAAGAAACGACCAGCCCCTACAGGTCTTACGGACCTCATTTGACTGGGTCCGGTGATGCAAAACCAGTACTCAATGAGGTTTTCAGGACCAGGTTGGTCCTTGGTCCGACTGGACTTGTAGGGAGCCGTCACCAGACGGGGTGCCGAACTTGGATCCGGAGATAGAGGTGCCCCAACCATCACCTCCGCCCCGATGGGACGAAGCAAAGGGATCCCGAGCGAGCGACGTGTGACTCCTGGTACAGTCACTGAACTCATCATGCCCCAAACGACCCATGGGACTGGCATAGGACAGACTGCAAAGAAACGGCCAGGGGTGGTTGAAGAGGGGTCAATGTAGGCGGCATAGGACTGCCAGTCCCAGTAGTCGTGTATGGGTGGTCACGCCACCACCCCTTTGGTCCGTCGGTCTACGGAAAACTGGTCCTCCGAGTCTGCGAGGGCATTTTGCGCCATCCACGATCTAAGAAGGATGATTGATTTCAGGGACTGTACAGCGCCGTACAGTTTCATAGATCCAAGGGTTGCAAGGTGGAGTAGCTATAATGGCTATTATTGGTGTCCATGATCAACATCATTGGAATCATACAGGTCATCAATGGATCACTTCGAGGCTCCCATCAAATGCAGCGTAAGTTATTGGTGATTGGTGACACCAGATCCACAGGAGGACGGGGGTCTCCAGCCTTCGGGGAGTGTCCAGACCAAATCTTTCTGCAGAAGGGCAGAACCTGGAAACTCGTACTCCCAAGTACAACTGATAACTTAGTAGATTCTCCATCTAACCAACAACAGGATATATCATCATGTGGTGCAAGATGTCCATCAACGAGAGTGGATCATGGCCATGGCGGATTCCTATCATCTCATCTTTCATGCAAAGTCCACCAGCTCCCCTTTGAACGGCAGGGAGATTCCGCAGGTCGTGATAAAGAACCCCCCCAGCTGAAGAGTTTTTTCAATCCAAATGGGAGGAGTTATGAATCAAGAGTATACATTAAGTATACCCTCGGACTTGACTCCATTTCAGAGCAAACTCCATGGTGCTCTGACCCACATAAACCGAGCTGCCCGACCCGAACACCCTCGACCCAGCTGCCCGACGCATCCTCTGGTGGCGCCGCTGGGGTTGCAGCAGTAGGTCTCGCAATGAAAGTCTCCAAAATTCCATTGATATTCACAGGTGAGACCATGAGTTGTCCTGATGGCGACGAAAAACATTGTGTTTTTCATGGGTCCCAAACCATATATGGCTGTGGGTCATGGCACCCCGGACACCCACTTGCGGGTCATGGCTGAAGCACGTCAACCCAGCAGGATCCCAAAGGCTCATGACTCATGACCCACAGCCACATTGGACTCCAAAAATCAAATTGGTCTGGTCCAGGAGTTGGGTGGCTCTTAGTCCCATCCAGTGAGTGGATAAGTTAAGGCACCCCGACCACCTCCAAGTTCGGAACCCCTTTGTGACTGCTGGGTGTGGAATTGGGTCTGATGAGCTCAAGTTCGTGTTGAATGGGTGAAGTTCAGGAAAACCTGATGCGGGAGAAACTGAGGGAAGCTGAAACGTGAGAAACCTTTTGGGATGAAAATTCGTCCCTGTTTTGGTACAATTTTCATTGGAACCCATGGAAAAAGCCTGGTGTGTTTCTGTCTGCCGAAAATGGCATGTGCCAAAACTCACTGAATGGTGAGTCGCAAAATGTCTCAGGACTCCGGCCTGCCTGCTGCCTGCTTTCCCTCCAATTTTCTGCGGCTGAACGAACAAATCTGACCTCAAATAGAGCTCACCTTGCACCTACACTCGCACGCTCCACGCCACTCCAAGCGTCTTCCGTGGGGTGGACTCCTCACATCCCAACTGCGACCACGACGAAAGCAGAAAGGACACCGCAGCCAGCAGCGCCAGGATTAGGGACCAGATCCTCAACCCCGTGGCGCCCTTTGGCTTTAGACCCATCGGATGGGAGGTGTGGCTTTCCGTCATCGGATGTGCTGGAGTCGGATGTGCAGCGACGACGAGAAGTGGGTTGAAGGTGAGTTGAACGGAACAAGTGGAGTTCCGAAAGAAGCAAAGAAGAGACACATAAAAGAAACATCATAAGCTATATTGATACTAGCATTTATGAGCATACATGTACAATGATACTTAAAATAAGATTACTATAAGCTAGCCTTCCACCTGCTTAGAAGGCAACTGGATTGCCAATTTGAGGGAACAGGCAACATTGCCCTCTCCAAACCCTACAGATTTTGACTGAGGGAAGAGTCGTTTAACACCCCGGCGAGTTGACTCTTTCTACAGCTATAGAATAGAAAAAGTCTTCTTCCCTCGTACCCTGGGATGGATCTAAACTCAAGCCCAAATCCCTCAGCTGCCGCAGAAACACGCCCAGCGTCAAATAGTGTTTCTTCTTGGAACGGAACTGGTTCACCAAACCGCGCTCGCCCTGGATCAGGTTCTCCACGCGCGGCGACGCCGATGCCGCCGCCAGCTCCATGACGGGCGACGCGTCGGGGGTCAGATCCACCACAGTGCGCACCACCGGGTGGTTGGGAAAGCGTCATGGTCAGCATGAGGCCCTTGTGGGGCGTTCTATCAAGCACCCAAAGTGGGTGGTGTTCGAATATATATATATATATATATATCGGTTTTTGTTGTTGGTGATTGCATGCTTCCACTGCCACTTCCACCATTAGACTTATTAGACTCACTGAATTCTGAATTGTAACACTTGTGTGGGTCACACAGCATCAATGCACCAAGTTACACAATTCACAGCATCATTCTCCAAAGAGACCAAGTCCTCAACTCTTCAAATTCAGGACCATGTTGTTCATGTCTTGGTTCCTCAACTTAGAAAGATAATGTATATCCAGGAGGGTGCATGCTCTCAGACTACGCCTTCGGCTATCGAGAAAGGAAAGCATTTCAACTTGCCGTGTCATGTCAGCCAACAACTGTGCTTCTTCTCGCTGACTTCACATCCGTATCCTTCAGGTCTTTGAGCACAGCAGCCAGGTCTTAACGCTGCGATCCGATCATCCACGGGCCAAAAGCGAGTCACTTCTTCTTCAAGCAAGGCAGTTCTTCCGGGTTGTGAATCTGGGGGACTCACGGCCGCCTGACCCTGCCGGAGATTTGGAGAATAGCAGGTTGAAGCAAACTATTATCCACGTTTTCTGGGTTTTTTTTCGGGTGAAACTGGGAATCAGAGACAGCGAAGCCCCAAGCAAGTAGATCTGGATCGATGCTGAGAGTCCGAACCGTAGATCCAACCAGTGTAGAATGTTGATAAATATAACAAAACCCACCCAAAGATAAATGGTTAAAACCTCCAGTAAGGTTATATACATCAAAAGTCTATATTGATAACTCTTCATTTTGCAAACCATGCATGCCCCAAAAACACACAAAAAAAACAACAGCAAACCAACAAAGCTTCAGAACCTCACCCAAACCCCCAAAGAATCGTCCCACAAACCCTCGTCCTCCGAGCCAAAACCCCTCGTCCTCCCCGCCTGGCGCCGGAGCTCTTCGACGCGCTTCTGCAGCTCGGCCTCGGTGGCATCGTCGCAGTCCTGGCGCCGGGCCAACGGGGCGCGGTAGCCTCGGTCGTTGTGTCGGTGTTGCGGGGCACAGCAGCGACTCGGCACGGTCGATGTTTTCCGAATTGATAGGGTCGATGTGTGATGTGCTGGATTGCCTGGATTACGTGGTGTATTTGCCTGGATTCGTGTGTGAACTGTACGTATGACTCATATGACCATTTAATTATAGTGTGTTGATAACGTTTGTTGTTACTGGATTTGTGTTTCTGTTGTGTGTGTGTGTTATGTTGATTGACATTCTCTTTGGCATTGGTAGGAGTCACTTGGAAGTACCTCCTTCCGCGCTGTGCAGTTGCTTGGGTGGTCGTCATGTGTGCAGGGGGGAACTCCCTGGTGGCAGGGGGAGGTTCAGCCAGGGAAAAGCCAACAAACACATAGAATCAAATCAAGGGGAGGTATGAAACAATGACGTGTTGCTTATAGTATTATATAGAAACAAAGGGTGTGTGTGTGTGTGAACCTGCATTCTGAACCATCCGGTTTCTCTTCCACATGTTTCTTTCTTTTGGGCACCAACGCCGATTTCTGCGATGTGTCGGGTCCATACACTTGGTGGGTATAAAGGCAAAAGTTAAAGAACATCACACACAACAAAAAGCATCCAATGATCATCCCATGCCTTGCATCTCAACCAACTGGGGTTCTCACCGAATCAACACATCAATCAAACCAAACTCGGAATCTCCTGGATCAACCCTTGGATCACTATATCCATCACCCCCCAACCCCCCCCCCCATCAGTCGTCCGTTGAGGAGGAGGACTGACTCATATCATGGTCGACCCTCCAGCCGCTCCCGTCCCCGGCAGCTCCTCTTCCGGCACATCCAACTCTTGAGAGGTCTCCGAATGCCTCACGCATCGACACTCGGCACCGACCCAAACCCGCCGAAGCACGCCCACGCAACACGCCACTACGTGTGGCCACCGCCGACGACTTCGTAGGAAGGTGAAGAAGTTACGACCCGGGGACCCACATGGAACCTGCCATGGATCCCAAGACAATTTTGCTCTACAACTCAATTGTTTTGGGGGTCCATGTTAATCTTCCAGAGTCCAAGTCATTTGCTTGGTCGTGCCTCACATATCGGACATAAGAAAAAACACCACGGATTTCTTTGTCATGTTTGGCAAAACCGAGGTGAAACCGCAAAACCGATAAAACCACTCATTTGTAACATAGGTGCACAACCTCCACAAACTAAGTGTTCTATGTTTGGCAAAGTGATGTGCAGCTTAGGTGTTTTTTCTACCTCGAAGATGGTGTTTGACCACACCCGTTGGCACCTGTCGACTGCAGCTGTGTGCACTGCACGAGCGCCGTGTCTCGCTCTCTCCACACGCCGCCGAGTCGCAAGGGTTGCTGAGTTGACAAGGAACTCTGAGAGACCTGCGCCGCGTCCGCTTGACGCCCGCGCGGGGTGCGGCATCGTGTGGTTGCTGGAAGAGCCTATTGGGTGGCACCCAGCGGACCATCATCTCCAGCATGTGATTTCCAAGTCAAATCTCGAAGCAAACAAGTTGCACACTTTGGAAGTAAATGACTCAATCAAAGACTTATCTCAAACAAAAGTCCTGCATTTTGACCAATGATTGCTGATCTTCAAGGATTTTCAGTGCTCAAGAACTCCGCACGAGACATATTCAACTCCGAAGTTTACAGAAGTTTCAGAGGTTCGATGGCCCTGACACCCCAAGAGGTCTATCCGACAGATGGGAGTCCATCATTGCACCACCTACTACTTGGGTAACTTGTGCCATCTACTCTGAAACCACTATACACAGTTTTCCACGGTGATCCCCCTGGCCACGACTCGTTTCTTTTTGTCGGCACATGAAAGCAACATCGCACGGCTGGACGGCTGGTTTTGTTTGTTGCAGAGCATGCGGCACATGCCAAATCTGAGCATGGCAGGTTCGTGTCGGTCTTCAGGAAGGTCTGGACTAATTCGCGGCAAGAAACACTCCATGAACGCTAGCATTCGCCCTCTTCTCTGGAATCCCAACCAGCCCCGGAATCAACGCGCGGAACTGCGCCCTTCGCCCTCTTCGCCCGACTCACACCGAACCGACCTTGGTCTACCCGCCGTACTTTCGGTCCTCAAAGAAGTTTCAATTTAAATGTCTTGGTCCACCGAACCTGTCTCCCAAGGAACCGTTTACAAAAGAATTAATCTCTGCGAGCCATGAGCCAATCAGCGCAATCAGCCTCCTGTTCTGATCTGAAGCATCTAGTATGGGTCTATGAGTCTATGATGGTCTATGGCGCAGGCCTGAGCTGCCCCTACTGAACTACACTAAACTCCTAGGCTAGGCAGCTAGAATCTTAGAACTCCTAGGTATAAACCCAAGGTCAACCCATGCATTAGAAACAATAAGCTACTAGGAACAAGTGCATCGCTTCTAGTAACAAGTGCCTTACTAGTAGTAACAATGTTTGCTATTAGAAACAAGATCATAAAGGCACTTGTTACTAGACCCCATGAGCTGTTTCTACTAGACCAATAACCAACAGTACTACCAACAGTAAGCTCATGGGCTTATAGATGTATGTGGATCATTTGAGACCCCATGAACCCACCGACGCTTTTCGGGCCCACCACCTCTGCGGTGCAGTTCTTGGCTCCACTTGGCGGCTCGACCGCGTCGTGCACCTCCGGCGAAGGGCGGCGAGTCGAGCCGAGGGGGAGTTCGGGCCGAACACGGCGAGAATAAACAGGAGAGTCGAACAAGATCTGAGACTGAATATCGACCGACTAGCTTCTGGATCTTCTAGTTTTACACTTGCCCCAATGCAACGAAACCGACCTCGCCTGAAACGGCCTAGCAGCTTCCATCGGCACCTGGCGCGGGTGTGACCCCGGATGCCGCCAAGTCGACCCGTACGTCTTTTGGAAAATGAAGACAAGTATTCCAGCAGTCACGTTCGACGGGGAGCTTAATGGAGGTTAGGGGTGCGCAATATCCACTCACTTTAGGGACTAAAAACATCTAAAAACCACCCCTTTGCGACTCCTGGAATATCATTCTTTTTGTTCGGGTCATCGTCCCATTTTCTAGGGTACGAACTGGAGGCTCCAGGCAGAAGTGTTGGATCTATATTCGCAAAAAACAACACTCCATGTATTCTATGAGACACATATGAATGCTCAATATGCTTAGATGTCACTCCTGTAACGACACCAATGTAGGTCAACATTCCGTCGAAGTGTCTAGTGTCTGAGTCATAGAAAGTACTACGATTTACTGTAGAAATCGTGGAGGCCTAGCATGCACCAAAAGAATCTTTAAAATCGAAAGACTGGACAATCAAAGCAAAGTCACGGACAATAGAATATACACACAGCGCACATATTTAGGACCAATCAACGAATCAGCCTATAAAACAGACCTACACCAAAGATCAAAGACATTTTTTTTATATACCAAGCGCTTTCCTTCAATGCTATATAGATTCATCTAAATTGTATACCGTATAATAATCTATTCCCGAATCATCCCGAATCTTCAAACGGCTTACATTTGTGCCGGTGCATTTTTTCATAAGACACCGTAACCCTCAAACAATGCCGTTTCTAGGACATGGAAAGAGGATGCTTGGACGCCTGAAGGACACCAAACCGTCTAAAAACGCCGTTTCTTCGTGGTTTCTCACCTGGCCACTTAACATATACAAATCAATATGCCTGTTTCCGCTTTGTCACACCAACAAAAACATAACGGCATGTTTTGTGTGAAAGGGACATTATTCGTGTCGTTTCGATCATCCAGGTATGGCAGCAAGTCCAGTTCACTGGACTTACAAAATAGGAAATGGCATGAGAGCCAAGCTCTTCTCGAAAAAAACACCAAAAACAACTTCTCACACAGCTCTGTTCGAAAAGCAAAACGCCCGAACACAGCTCAGGACCGCCCCCCACCTGGGACGTCGCGACCGACGCCGCGGAGCCGGACGCCACGCTGGAATGGACGCTCGGCGCCGACGTGGGCCGGCCCTGCGCGGTCACCGGTGTTCATCCGTGTGAGTTGAATCCGTTGGTGTGTTGAGTTAAACCATATGAAGACTTGGACATTGTTTGATGATGACTTGGACAAGTCTTTGACCTCAGCATTAAAAACACATTGTATAATTAAAAGTAATACTATGTTTTTAAACATATATAGTCACAGGAAGTTGGGGTCCAGTCATGAATGCATCGGTGTTGCTTTGTGTTGGACTATGGCGTGATGAAGCTTGGTGATGGACATGTTTTGTGGAACAGGAATCGTTTGTCGCTTTGCACACTTGCTTTACTAGGAAAACTCACAGTCCACCGGTAGCTGCATCTACTGTGATGGCTGTGGATCAATGTTGTCAAAACCCTATTAATTAAAACCTGTGGTTTCCCTGAGTGTTCCTTTACAATAAGTACGGTTGGATCAACACTGGAAGATCCTCAATTGAAGGTGGTATCCACCCAGCAAAGATGGTTTGGTACAAACACACCCCACTTGTCGCCACCTGTTTATTCTCCACTCCTCGCACTCCAAACACTTTTTCCACCCACCGGGGTGGCGAAAAAGGGAAACAACCTGAGCACCCAAGGACAAGCCCGAAAGCACCTGATCCTCTGCTCCAGTCTCCGGTGAGACTGCTATCTGCCCTTGGCCGCGCTGGTCGCCCGCGCGCACAGCCCCGGCCGATGCGGGGCGGCCGAAGGTCATGGTGAGCGGCAAGGCCACGGCTGGCACCGGCGGCGCCTGCAGGGTCAGAGACGAGCGTCGTGTGCTTGGAGATGGATGGATGGATTTCTGTGGATGGATGGATGGTTGGGTCATTGGGTCCCTGTGATGTTTCAGGGCTGGCTGGGCAAGGCTGGGCATGTGGGCTCCTGGGAGAAGGGAGTGCGTGATCAGCTAGCTACCAAACTGGTATGTCATACCGACTGAGACACAAGCAAGTGGCATAGCGGTATACTTACATTGCACTAACATGACCAAGTCAAGCCGGGAAGATTGACACAATTGGAACTTGAAGCAATTGAATGCACCTTAATTCTTGTTGCAACACTGCAACAACCAAGATCAGCCTAGCAATGCCTTGCAACTGTGCCGCTCACCAGTGCCGCACTGTTGTCCACCCTTTGTTTGGCAACTTTCTGGGCAGGGCGATGTTCCAATCAATCGCCGTAATGAATGATGAGGTGCTCCTCATCCAGTCCTCGTGTTCGGAAACTTTGTTTCATGGACCTTCCCCTGCACTTTTAGAGTGTAGCTGAGAGACAACTCCAAATGCCTCAGATTCTGCAGCTTCGCAACACAATTTCCAATACTTTCTCCACCCGTATCTCCAAGAATGTTGTTTTCAAGATCCAAATGCAAATGGCTGAGGTTCTGCAGCTTCGCAACACCATCTGCCATAGATTTCCCTCCTGCCTCTCCAAGATTGTGTTCAATCAGAGCCAGCTCCAAATGGCTTAGGTTTAGCAGCTTCCCAACACCATCTCCTATGGCTTTCCCTCCTACATCTCCAAGATTGTTTCTCCAAATGTGCAATACCAAATGGTTCAGATTCTGCAGCTTGCCAACACCATCTCCTACGCCTTTGCCGCCTTCCTCTCCAAGATTGTTTCTTAATGAGATGCAGCCCCAAGTGGCTGAGGTTTGTCAGCTTGGCAAGGTTTCCTGTCATCGCCTTGCCTCGAGCACCAAGATCTCGGGCAGCCCTCGAGCTGCCGAAGCACTGGCCCGTATTCAGGCGAAGTGGTTGGTGAGACCAACATCTGTTGGGCCTGGTTCCCTTCACACGCCAAGACTGCATCGCCTGTTGGCAGCCTCCCAAACGCGCCATATGCCAATCGCAACTTGAAAGTTCCCCTCTGCTTTCGCACTTCTTGCGCACGATTCAATCATGTCTCCATGAGTTCAACGTCAAAGTCTGGATTTTGCAATATCAGATCATTGTGACCCAAGGAAAACATCCAGCTCAAGTCTGCTACAGATGCGCCTGAAATCTGCAATGGAGACGCAAGAGGGTGGACTTCCTTCCCGCAACACATTGTTCGAACTTCGAAACCGGTTTCACAAACTTCTTGATCACACTCATTCACCTTTGGGCACGTCGAAATGAGCTGAGAACATGCCGGGTTCTCTCGAAGCTGGGATAACGGAATTGAAACATCTTCCAGCACAAGTTTAGCACCTTGGAACTTCTCTTTCACTTTGGACATATCTTTTAAGGATACTTCACTTAAACTCTGATTCTTCACGCAAAGATTATTCAGGCCTTCTCGGTTCATCAAGGCTTTTAAGATCTGTTGCAAAGCATTGTCTGTCAAATTGTCAAGACTGACCTCTTCCGCCAGTGTGGAATTCGCCACATGGCAAGCATGCTCGGCAGAGCTGCAACTCTTGATTTCTAGGGTTTTAGAAAAGTAATGACATTCACCTCCGAAGCCATACACATGAAGCCTGAAATTGCGATTCTTGCTACAAAGAAGTTCTACTTGGGGCCAAAGCATCTGCAAGCCTTCCTCACCAAGGTTCTCTTTCCGTCAAGGTGCATTCCAGGAGATCACTGGCCTCCTCAAGGACTGCACCAATCTGTTTGATGTGCTCTTCTGTCAGCGCTCCTGCAGAAGTGTCTGTCCAAAGCAAATCAGAAAAGTAGGACGTGAAACCAAACTTGTTGAGCCTGACGTTCTTTATGGCATACCGCTTACACCAACCCTTCCCTACGCATTCGGGAAAAAAACATGTATGTCATATGTATGTCATATGCTGATTGCATCTTGCGTTTGCCTTTTGCACGCTTCTGTTTATGCATGTTTGTCTTTGTTTTGTTCATTGTTTGCATGCATTCATTGTTCAAAAGAAACATAGAAAAACCATGAAAAAAAACATTGTTTGCCTTTCTGTTCCAGCTTGTTTGCTTTGTCTTTTTCTTATGTTTGTTTCTTTATTTATTATTAAGTGACTCTTAGACTTTGGCTGTAAGTTCTGAACCACAACATATATATTATGACTCCCCTTACATGGAGGCACCTTCGTTGCTGAAGTCCACGGTCTGCTTACTCTTGAGCATGTGCAACAGCGGAGCTCGCCACTCCAAATCCACCAGCAAAGAGTCCAGCAAGCATGCAAAGAATCCCATGTCTTGCGTCTTTGCCAAATCATGAATATCTTTCACAGTGAGCGCAAAACAAAAGAGTGAGGATCCAATCGACACAGCCAAAGTCCTCACTTTGGAAGCTTCTAACTCCATTCTACCTGTGGTGAGCTTGACATAGAACATCCTGCTTTGCAAAAGGGCCTGGCCAGGAGACTCCAGAAGAGTCTCTGTTACCACCCGCAGTCTCATGATGTTTGCTACCCACCCCTGTTGAGGGGATGACTTAGCAAGCCAAGCAAAGTCCACAGTGGCATCACAATCCAAGCTGCCGTCTGCCCACCAAATCTTGGCTCTACCATGTGGTTTAATTCGTTTCATTGCTCATCTAGCTAAGAAGAACATAACAGCATTCATTCGGCATTCCGAGCAACCCATCATCCGAACATAGCGGCCAACCCGCTTTCCCGAAAGTAATCAGTAAGTCCAGTGCAGTGTCTTGCAACGGAAGCCAACGCTCCAGAAGGAAAATGCCCAGCGGCGAACCTTTGAAGCGCTGCCAGGCTGACTTGCCGTGTTGAAACGCCAATTCCCCTCGCTCATACCAACCGAGCTCCTCTGCGGGTGCCTCTGTGGCTTCTGCAGTTCCTTCGGGCTCTGCCTCGTCGTCACTTGAAGCATCATGCAAAGGTGCTAATTCGATGTCTCGCTCGACAGCCAAAGCCTTCGCACATTTACATCCCATGGCTCAGCACACATGGCTCGAATTGTGAAAAAAGGGTGTGATGATCGACTCAGGAGTGCATGCATGCCTTCAATATCCTTCAATATCCTTCCGACAGTTCTGGAACAAAGAAAGGCAAAAATATAGATACTCCATGTGTGACAGTTGTGGCACAAAATTCCTTCTAAACTCATGTTCTGCCACAAATGTGGCACACCAAAAGGCGTTGTCATTAGCTACTCCACACATGGACCACGCAGTTTGAACTGATCGTCGATTCCCCAAAGACTGCATGGGGACGAAAGTGGGGCATGGATCTCAGCAAGCATTCCTTCATCGAGCCAAAGCATGAAGTCCTTCCTACAAAACAAAACAACAATGCACCTGCGAAAGAAACACCCGGCCTTAACCCCTACCATGAGAACCTCTAGTGTTCCCACACTGTTTGGAGAAACATCTCACACCACCAGTCGCAAGACGGGGTGGTTTTTAGTCCTTAAGTGAGTGGATCACCACGACAAATTCCCCAAACAGTGTGGGCACACTGAGGGGTTCTTACGGTAAGTGAAAAGCAGGTGTGCTTACAGACCTTACACACATTGTTTGGGGTCTCTTGCCGGGATAATTTGGTTCTAAAAGTACAACAATCACGCCTTCGCTCCGCAGTCCAAACAGTTCAACGCCCACCGTGGCGCATCACGCCTGCTGCGCGCCCAAGCGTAGCTGAGCTGCGGAGCTGGGGCGCGAGAGGCGAGAGCCTACGGTGCTCAGGTTCACCTGGCAAGGGTCGGTGAAGATGGGATGGATACTAGCGATATCTAGGTGCACCGGTCGGCCTACATGGATGGCTCAACCACCCCCTGGTTGAGCCATCCACCACTATGTAAAATAGGCCTGTTTTACATAGGGGTAGATGGCGCAACCCAATTTTTGACCATCATGCATTTGCCCCCCGGAGTATATTATACAAATACATTTATTTGAATGTATATAATTGCAACAACTCAAAAAGATATTGGAAAGAAATTGAATAATATATAGATACATACTTGCCAGGTAGAGTTGCACGTGGATTTGAGCTTGCTAGCTGGGCTTTAGTTTGGCCTTGGGATACCACCAATGGCACTACTGCCATGGAAAGGAGGCCACGCAACGGTAGGTTGCAGCTGTTCAAGCAAGTGAGTCAAACATTGTCAAACAAATCATATATTTGCGACCAAGTTTCACTTGATCGTTGGAAGCATTGGGAAAGGTTCTTTGAGGTCTTCGACCAATATTAGAACTCTGAGTCGTACACCGGTAGACTTCGTTGCAATTGGACCCAAATCAAAACTTCTCCCTGATTCTGGATTTGCTTACCCTAGGGCTCCAAGTACCTCCTCAGAAGGTATCTGGACCCTCTAAACCCACCCTAAACACCTTCTCAGAAGGTACGACTGGAGCTAGGGTTAAGGAAGCTGGGACCAAAACATATTCGCCAGAAAGGGATTCGCCCATATGGTACATAAACAATCACACCTGATGCGCAAAACCAGGGATTTGATCACCAACACTTGCCCAAGTCGCTGCATCCACCTTTCCCGCGGGTTGCCCTCGAACCTCCCCAAACTCCGACAGAGATGGCTCCTGAGGTCACTGGAACGGGGGTGGTGATTGACATCCAAGTGGTTCTCATGTGGTGTTCCGCCAAGTCTCTATAGACGTATTTAGATGTGGTTGGGAGTTGGAAAATGCTTGAGGATGGCTTTGGAGGGTTTGAGACGGATGAATGCCATGAAGAGTTTCCTCCCCATGCCATGCTTTGAGCGTAGCCGTCTTTCTGCTGGTCCCATGTTTCTGTTTGGAGAACTGGTCCAGCAAAATCTACCCAATCAAGAATCCAAATGTATCCAAATTGCAGGGGTGTGTGTGTGTGTGTGTTTTTGTTTCTGACCCCATCGTTCCGACCAATCGATCAAGGAACCAAATATGCCCGAACAGCTAAGCAGCAACTTGTAATTGCTCTCTTCAAATAAGTACAGAAACATCCCTGAACAAAACGATTCGGGAGTAGGCTCACAGTATAGGGTTAAGCAACAGCAAATTGCAATTGGTCTCTTGAAACGGTGCTCCCTAAGTTCAACCCCCAGGTCTGAAACTCGAGTTTCCTTCAATATATTTTATATGGAACAAAATGTACAAAACGCATCAAAACACTATGTTCATACCTTGCATGTCCTGCCCAACTTCTATCACTCTTGAAACATCACAAATCACAACCATTCCCAAATTCCTAAATCCACCTAAAAACCCTAAAAACTTCTAAGAAGAACCACCAACAGAACCAACCTTCTCCCAAACACTCAATGTTTCTGCCCCATTTCATGGCACCCAGCCATCTTCGAGTTCTCCCACCCACTCGCCTCACCTGGCGCGTTGTTTCGCCCCTCCCACGGCGCCTCCCGCGGTGCCGCAGAGGTGGGGCGGCTGCTGCGCTGGCGCAAGAGCTGCAGCGGAGTCAGCGGCACCTGCGGGTCCACCCGCGGGTCCACCCGCGGGTCCCGCGCGGCGGATGGTGGATGATTGGCGGATTTTGGAACCTCCAAACTAACCACGAGCAGCTGCAGGCTGCGGCAGGACGGACTCTGAACATGGAAAAACTGGGCGCAGCACTTGGGGGCCTTAGCCCACTTTTTGCGGGTAACTCACCTCTGGGACTGGAACATCGTTATAGATCGGTTCTGGGATCGGACGTTCACGTCAAACCGGTCTGGCATAGACGGGCCCCGGTATACCGTTCACGTCACTCGCCTGAGTACACTCCGTTTGGATCATGAGTATACTCTGACGAGCACATCACATGGAAAGTGGAAAACCTCCCGTTTTTTTCAAGGAAAGTTGTCTTCCAAGGGACCATGCCATCCACTTCCATGTGGGTTCGTCAGAGTGTGTGCACAAAAAGCGGCATGAAGTTGGTGAGGTGATTCGCCGTCACTGATGAACGAAGACAAACATATAAACATGGCAGCCTGCCAATAAGGCCGAATAGTATACCATAGTATACCGATAGGATATACCTGAATCTTCCTAGGGCTGCACTTTTTGCGCCTCCAACCTAGAAGGCGCCTCTAGGAACTGAGAGGCAATGTTTTTTTGCAAGAGGCGATTCTTGTTTTACATAGATTTCTCCCCAGTTATGTTGATAGAACATATGATAACCGTGATAACAATGAAACTTATACACTTAACATATAGGAAAAAACACCACAAACCCCGAACCATGAACCAAAACATAAGTTATATGCATTCAAAAGGTTCAAGCATGATAAAAACGTGAAACACATGAAGGCATGATAACTCACTGTGGAAAAGTGAGCGCACACAACATTATATATGAACTGCTAATTTTCCACTTGGATTGGCCTGCGAAAAATGACCCCCACAAGTCCGGCTTTCCCCTTCAAAACCTGCATTTCAGGCAGGTCGAACCGGACTTGTGGGGGTCTTTTTTGCATGGAAAATTGCAAATATGAACATGATATCGCGCAATTTGATAAACACACATGAAAACATGAAGCACATGAAAGCCACAAAAAAACCTGAAACATATGAAAAACATGAAACATATGAAAGCTACATTGAAAACATGAAAGCACAGGAGAGCAACATGAAAAAAATAACACATGAAACATATGAAAAAAAACACAACATACACGAAAAACATGAAAGCACATGAAAAACATGAAACATATGCAAAAACATGAAACACGTGAAACAATGAGAGGCGGAACTTCCCGGGTAAGAGGCGGAACTTCCCAGGTAAGAGGCAGAATTCCCAGGTTATGAATTTTTGGCATAGTCTTTAATTAAGTCGACTGGTTGCCGCTTTCAGGCTCGTCTCTAATCGAAAGGGGAAATGGCGTATCAGCTTCCATCCCGTGTCTTTTCGAGTTCGACCCTGATGGCTGGTTTGACGTTAGTGAAAGAAGAGAAATATGTGGACAAACTTGATGGTGACGATGCAACCCTGATGTCAGAGCTGCAACAACCGCAGGTGGGGCTGTTCGTTTCTATATATAGGTATTGATACTCACCTCTAGTCAGTGTTTTGGTCTGAACATTTCCTGGCTAAACATTTTAGCTTTGTTTTCTGCCGGTTGCAGGCGCTCAGGTTGCAAATCCAGCAACTGCCTACTCCTATGAACTCTGCCTTGAAAGACCTCCAAACGCCAAACACCTTGGAGAGTTACGTCTTGCCTGATGATGAAACTCAAACGGCTGGTTTGGGTTTGGACGCAGTTGCTAGCAAGCATGATGAAACTCTGTTTGCTTGGGCTTGACCGATAATCTTTTGTCATGTTGATAGCTGTCGGCAGCAGCAGCGGAAGACCACCAAAATCATTACAAATTACAAGATTCCCTTCTACCAGAAAAGCACGAGAGGCAGTTTTTGTTCTAAGCGGCAACTCTTGAATGGAGAGGCTAACATTTGAGCCTCTCTGCTAAGAGGCTGAGAAAAGCAACCGCCGGAGGTTTAAGGTATATATAGGGAATCACACGAACATGGCATCCCGCCTCTGGCACAAAATGATGGACATGGGTGACCACTACGACCTTACCGGAGACCTATGTTTTGAGTGTCCCTATATATTATCACTTGCGCTAGCTTCTTTATTTCAGGCTTCTGTGAGGAAGCCAGAGCTATTTCTAAAATCTTTCAGGACTATTTATAAATCCTGGCAGGACTATTTATAAATCCTGGCTATGCCTGGCTACTTCTAAAATCTGTTAGGACTTATATCCTGGTCCTGGCAGGACTATTTATAAAGCTTGGCAGGACTATTTATAAAGCCTGGCTACTTCTACAATCTGTCAGGACTCTATTATAAATCTTGGCAGGATGATTTATCAATGTGCAAGCTCACATACATAAACGTAAATGGATTGATTTACCTCACTACAGGCAACATTTACAAATCCTGGCCACTGGCAGTATGCAATACATGCTGCATTTGCATATGTGAGTGTTTTTGTTTTTCATGTCATTCAGCAGTCACAAACAAGTCAGGAAACAATGTGACCATTATCACAAGGAGAAACTTAGTTACAACGAATTGGCAGGATATCCTAGCGAAAACTGTACCAAACTGTGACCCTATCCTATGACATCCTATGACTGTATCATACTGTATTTGTACCTGACAAATAATGTATCTTATCATCTTATCTACTTGGAATTTCTCACACACACACGGAACATGTTACCTGTTCAAGAGGTGGAGGGACCAGGGCTAAAATGTTGAGTGGCACAGACATGCGCTGCAACCTTTTGTGTGTGTTTTTTTGCCTCCGCCCGCTGCCTCAATCTGCAGCTACCAGGCTGTGACTATGACCACAGGAACACTTTGAAATACTGCTAGATTCGAGGTGGTGCCACAAATACTTCTTACATGTTTTCTAGGTCACAGACCAGACCAAACCTGAACTATTTGTAGCAACTGGCAGCTGTGACTTGACCATGGAGCGACCTTCTTCGCCATCAACATCCCTGGACCTTGAGGAAGTGGAGATTTGCCAGAACTTGACACAAATGGAGCATCCGACACCAGACTAGAATTCATGGGAGCTAGAATGGTTCTGGACCTACTGTACAGCTATGTATGGGCCTAGTACATGTGAAACCAGTCTTAGTCTTGGGTCTAGCAACTCATTTTATGACAAACTATTGCATGCCTATGCCGCTGCCTATATCTCATATCAGAAATCAGAAAACTGGTCTATCCTAACCATTGGATTGGAAACACAAAAGGCCAGGCCCAAACAAACAGATGTTTGTCAGGTTTAGTTAGTTTTCTATGGGCATCTATGTGCGGCTATGGCTATGGCTATGGCCTGGCTATGATGTGGTCAACTCACTTGTTGGTTACCTGACCCACCCAGATTTTTCTCACACAATGGGGTGTTGACACATGTATGTGAGGCGAGGAAAGCAACCTCTTTTTGACCGTCAAGAAGGTCACCTGAAGAAGCCGCGCTTTCTAGAGTGGGCAGACATCGTTTCTTCTGCGCTAGACCTGGACTATGATTCGCCTGCAGCCAAGATGAAGCAGCTTGAGCTGTATAGTTCAAGCATTTGATGTGGCCATACAGCCTTCCCAAACTAGACTCAGACCATGGACCATGGAAGCTAATACTTTGAAGCATGGACCAATGGACAATGAAATCCATGAAAAAGCAATGAAATGAAATGACAACATGACACGTTCCTTCAGTTTTAGTCTTTAGCCACATGGGTCAGGTTCGTGGTGGTGGAGGCATGTGCAGGTGCTGGAACAGCCACCTATTGTATGCAGCTTGGCTTTGCTTGGTTTGATTCCCAAAGCCATCCAAAGCCTAAGACCCCAACCTCATTGCCCTTAGCCCTCAGCTAACAAAAACTAAACCGGCATTTGCTCAGTGAACCCCCATGCGCATGACATGTTGATTTGGTGCACAGGCACACATGTTCAGATCAGGCAGTACAGTATGCAGGCGGGAAGCCTGTTCTGGCAACAGTCTGCTGAGGCAAGAGCTGTCCAACCAGATTGGCTTCAAGTGGAAGACAGCTGCATTGTCAGAAAGATGCCCCATGAAGAGGCGATGGCTTCGAGAACACTACAATGGACATGGTGGCTGGCCTGCATTTGCAGTGCTGGAGAGTTCTTGGTTTTGACATTGATGCATGGATGTCACTGTGTCAGGATACAAACATATGACATGCGTGAAATGTGAGGCATTGTTTGGTCACTATCTGTTGGCCTTGAATCATTTCACCCAGCATGTTGCATGCATACCCACCCATACCAGCGCTGCAAACTCTGCACACTAATACTAACTATTTGTTTGAATGGGTTGGATGGCTTTGACTAATGTGATGTAGTGTCGGGTTGTGCTGTAGTCTGTGTAGTTGCGTGTATTTTGCTTGACATCGGACTCTATGTCAAACAGCTTCCTTGCAATTTGTGTTTGACTAAGTCGACCACATCTTCAAGGATATGGTGGATGGGACCGACTCTGGGCCCTGTGTGCTCCATGACAAAATCTGCTCATCAAGTCTCGAGGATCCAAACCTGATGGAAATTAGGCTGCTTTCAGAAGATATTTGTCTGTCTCTGACAGAGTCAAACTTGGTCAGAAGAGTTCGACGTTGCTTGGAACTCTAGGCTCCTCTCTAGCTTTTGAAAAACTCACTGAGGTTCAGGTCCAGGTTTCAGAAACTGAGCAAAAACGAAGTGTCAGGATTCGGCTTGAGTTTAGATTCAGAAAACATATATCATATATCATATAACATTCATATATATCATTATATCATATATTATATCCTTTACAATCTTTGCATTGGGACTAGGACTAGGACTAGACTATGACTAGACACTTGCTCTATGTTTGAACTTCCACTATGACTAGACTATGGACTAGACTATGACTGGCTGTAAGAATCAACATGTTAACACTGATCAGTCGAATCAGTCATTGGCATGTAGACGACAGCCTCATTTGCAGAGAGTTCTTTTTACAAGGGAAGCGTTTCCATCCAGTCAAGTTCAATTGTGTGCCCAAGCAACAGTTACTGAGGATTTCTTTGTTTGGGGGCCGCCATGCACACCTTACAGCAAGCTTCGACCTGGACGACAAGACCCAGACTATCATCCTCTTCAGAATCCAGCTTCTCTGCCATTTACCCTCGGATCTAGACACATCCGAAACTTGCCTTGAGCAGTCAACATATTTCAATGTTAAGTGTTTGGGTCAACAACACAGTCATCACTACCAAACAACAATGACAAGACTCAAACACAGACACCAGGGGGTTGACAGAACAAACAATCATTCTTTGGCCATGCACCAACTTGACCAGGAAAAAGACGACCTGCTGTTGCGATAATGGAGGAGGCGTGTCCCGAGTACAGCAACAGCACCTAGAGCCCAACAGAAGTTAAGGTTGAACTTCTAATGGCCCCTGCTGCTCATTTCATTTGAGCGCATGTCGTTGTTCTCTGCTTCATATGTTCTCTACTCTTTGTAAAGTTCTGTAAGTGGGCCCACTGTGGTTTGCAGTTCCAAAGGCTTAAACAATATGATGAACCAACAAGATTAGCAAGACAGAGTGACAAGGTTTTGGAAAAGCCGACCTGGGCAAAGGGTCGATTTTGTTTACACGGATGAAATATGTTGTGTTCTCAGATTCAATGGTTCAGGTATGGAATCCCCACTTCAAAACACATCCTCACTCCTGGTGTTGCAGGTGTTGGGAATCTTCGATGAATTCCCAGCCATGGTCAATGGGAAAGATCCTTGCTATGCCGACTACAAGGTTGGACACCTGGGGTCGCCAGGAGAGTCAAGGGTGTTTTTGCACATGGTCTGCTGACACATGTGAACACAACCGGTTCTTCTTAGTTGTATAGTTGTAGTTATACGTAACTACAGCACACAGATTTCAATTTTGTCACATCCCACTGGACCAAACGATTGTTGGCTGATGCTAAAGGCCCAAAGGCTGTTTGATGTTTGAAGGTGTCAGGTCAAGATGGTCCAGCCTCAGGATGGGAGCGCACTTGAGCTGGCATTTTGCCCAAGTACTCAGTTGACAACCAAACCAAACCATTGAATGAGAAAGAATGGCGGTTGATAGTTGAATGCAGTAAATTTTGGAGTGAGCTTGAGCTTGGTATTAAAGGCCTGTGGCCAGCTACCAGCATGATAGACCTTTATTAGTTAGGTTGTGGGCAGGTACCTGGCCAGAGGTAGTCACCCAGTAGCTAGGCATCAGTTCAAAGAGAGGACAGGCAACCACACCCAAACTTTGCATACAGCAGATTTCACAGAGTACCACATCATATACAATTACAGTATGTTCTTTTCATATACGAAGACTGACACAAACAAAGCCTTGGAAGCCATGCTGCGACCTGTCACCCAAAAAGATGATGGGCCATTTGTGCCACCACAAAAGAGAATGAGATATCCCCACTCAACATACGAGTCAAATCGGCTTAGAACAGAGAAAGCACGAGTGCAAAGGAGACTGAATCAGCAGAAGTCAAAGTTGGACAAGCAAGACAGGGACCTTGAGTTTGGTGAGGAATCTGTCCTTTCTCCTGGGCCAGGTATTCCCATCTTCCAAACACGGGCAGGCCATTTACAGCATTACTTCTGCACCAAATTGTTATTTACTGCCAGCAAGCAGGACATTTTGTATCAGGCAGGCGACTATAAAACCTTTGCCCGTGATCGTGCCAGAACTGTCTTCAGTCTCATCAAGGCATTGGCTTCATTGTTGCATACAGTGTTCGAGGCAAAGCCTGTTCACCACATTGTAAACACTCACATCATTGATGACACGTCAACGAGGATGCGGGGGCCATTATACTCCGACCCAACGACCATGTACACCATCATGAACTCGATCCAGTCCATCCATGTTGTATACGCATCATCTGATGCTTGTACACAAGACTGTGAACAAACTACCAGGTTCCGGGTTCCGACTCCACTTATTTGCCTGGAAGACGCTACCAGCAAAGGAATTTTTGAGGCCTTCGTTGCTTCTGCTGTCGTGACCTCCAAGGGGGTTGGATCAATGCTGCAAAAGTATGGGATTTGCAAGGACGTTGTTCAAAGTACATGGAGGAGTTTCGTTTTTGTTGGTGACAGTTTGAAGGCTAACCAAGCCGCCTTCAGAAAGGAATGCTTGGAAGTCTTGAAGAAAGATGACCCAAAGCACCTTTGCCTCAACTTCAGGTGCTTGATACACCAAATCGCCTTAGTGCGAAAACCAGCCGTTCTTATGGTGCCACGCTTGTGGAGCACAATTGTGCGCCTAGCGCATTTGTTTGAGACCTTGTCGTTTCGGAGAGCATTTGCAACGAATCTGGCTTCAGTCATCAGCAATTCTTTCGTATACATCCCTGTAGCACAACAGCTTCCTGAAGAAGCATCTTGGAAGTCTGTTCGAGAACGCCTCCAGGCCAATTTTAGGTGCAAATCTTCATTGAAGAAGAGAAACCTTAAAGCCATGTTGGAGTTTGTCAATGGTGACCTGGAGAGCGAGTGTGTTTACCACTATTGCCATGAGGCTGCTCCTGGTCAATCGCCTTGTTGTACTGGATCAGATGATGCGCTGGGCAAATGCTTGAGATTGATTGTTCCCTTCTTCAGTCGTGGCTTCCCTGTGCCTCTTTTGTACCGGTTTAAACATTACGATGAGGCAATTTCATTCATCACACTTGGCTTGTGTACCCATGGGCTGCTTACAAGAACACTTTCCAGCATGGACTTGGCAAAACAAGCAGGTCAGAAGCAGCAGGAACTGATAGACTGTCTTCTTGGGGATCTAGATTTGAGTGTGGGAGGTCAGGATGGTACAGACCCAGCTGCTTTCAAAGACGACGAATTTGAGGACTTCCATGCTCAGACTTCAAAGAGGAAGCAGCTTGTTTACGAGGAGATTACCAAGCCAGCCTTCCATCAATCAACATTGTATCTGGACTTTATGATCCGACCGATGGATTCACTCATGAACCAGCTTTTCCATCGCAGCCAACTTCTGACAAAGTTGACTTTGTTAGGCCCTTGCTTGGACAACTGGAAAGAGGTAGCTCACAAAAGTCGAGAGTTGTTCCTGTCTGTTGCTTCTGGCTCCTTTGGACAGACTGTGGTGAAAGAGTATTGCACCATAATGTTTGGCGGTGATGACAGTCTACAGACCTTGGCAGATCTGGGCTTCGATGTGTCAAGTCAAAGTCACTTACACTCAATGTTCGTTCTGGGCGTTCACCTGGTGACAGACCTTTGGCGGAGACTGGTTCATGAGCACAATGTGCCTCAGTACAAGTTGTTCTCCACACTTCTGAGGACAACGACCTTGGATGGGTTTGTTGCAGCTTGGGACAGGTTTCAGGGGGCCAAAGCTTCATGTCCTTATTGCTTTGATAGAACTTTCAGCCAGAAGGTTCTGAATATTTATCCAGGACCATTGGGGCTTTTAGACAGAAGCGTCCAAGAGTCTGTGCACATGGAGGTTACACAGTTGCTTTCTGATTTGGCAACAGCTTCGCCGCTCAGCAGTGACCCAGTTGAGGTGAAGAATGGGCAAGTGCAAAACATCACCAGTAGAAGAGGTAACCAAGCTGTCAAGGGCCCGGCAGCCTCTCGGGAGTCCTCATTCCTGAACGCTTTGATCAAAGATTTCGATCTGGTGAATCATTTTGTTGAAGAAAAAACTTTGCCAGCCAAAAAGGTTGTGGCAGGCATTCTCAGGAGGTCTGGCAAACGAGGTTGCAATCAACATTCTGCTTCCAAACGTGTACCTTGGATGATGAGAGACTAGAGATGTTTTGTACCATCATTTTGATGTGAGTTGTTGCTGGTGGGTGTCTTTTTGGTTTGTATCCAGGTAGATGGGGAGGTTTCAATCTGGCAATGGCTACACATCCAAAACACTACAAACCACTGGATACAGAATCCAAATTAATTGCCTAACAGATTCATGTTTTGCTGGCTCAGGCTTCTTGGGAAAGCGGTACTGCGAGGAACAAGAGGATTGTGAAAGCAGCACATCGACAGCTTAGACGGGTGAGCGGTTGGAATTTGTACCAAAAGGAACAGCTGTGTGCAAGGGGAGGTCATTTAGATCCGATGGAATACAAACAGGCACTTTGTGAGGTCTCACACACATGGAAGACTTTGCCACAAACTGCCAAAGACGACTATAAAGTTCGAGCCGAGTTTGAACATCAGATGCGCTTGGAGTGTGTGAACACAGCCCTGTCTTCCAAGGGCTCCCAGGCGCCAGAGATTGAATCTCACATCAGTTCATCTGGCCTGAAAAAGATTTCAGCAGCTCGCCTTCAGAAGAATTTCGAGCAGGCAAAGGATCACCCAATCTGGAAGTCCTCCACCCAGCTTGGTGACCGTGCCTGGCCTGGGCATTTACATTTTGTTGTTTTTCTTATTTATTGTGATTCGTGGCATTGTCAGTTGAATTTTGTACATAAATTTGTCGTGTGGCAAGCAGCTAGCAAGTCAATTTATAAAGAACTGAAACTATGACTAGACTATGACCATAAACTAACTTTTTATTTTTATATAATTTATAGTACTTAGTCATAGTACTTACTAAATATATAGAAGTATAGAAGTATCAGTGATCAGTATCAGTGTCAGTATTAGTTTTCGATATGATATGATGATATGATATGATCTATGAGATCCAAATACACGGTGTGCACACAGCATATGTGCCCACACAAAATATAACGTTCAAAGACTTTTTTTAATTCTGATTCTGCAGTCTTTTGGGCCCAGGTGGAGGAGCCCTCAAGAAGTCCTACATCCAGGTTTCCACCCCAGAGGAAGAGATTTCAACATTCCTCAAAGAGGCCTTCCATTGCAGTGTTTGTGACAGTGGCAATGTGCAGAGTGACAGTGAATCCGAGACACATGAAGAGGAGGAGACGATTTGTCATGTGCTGTATGGTGGCTTGTGCAAACAGTCAAACAAAACTGCTGCTGCTTCACGGCTTGTTGCCGTCCTCCACCATCACATCATAGTGAATCACATTCCCATTGGCAGCTTGCTTCTCATGACAAGTGGCTCTGAATCTGTCCTTTGTTTCCTGGGAATCTGCATGAGGAGGCCCAGGTTGCATGTTTTGATACAAGCTACTATGGACGCTGCTTCTGAGGAAGTCAAGTTTGCCTTTGCAAATGACGGTTGCAGTCCCAGGATGTTCACCAGCCACCAAGTGTTTGATCAGCTCATTTCTTCTGGCCAACCAGAGAACGTGACGCTCGAGTTGTGGAAGTATACACTGCAGTGTGAGAACTATGGTCTTCAACTGTTTGCATCCTCCCAGGAGAAAGAGTGGACCCTTGACCCTTCAATGAAATTGAATGTGAGGAAGCCACGAGCAAAATTACCATTTGGGCTGAAAATGCCAGTCAAGAAAAGGGCATTGACGGCTGTGAAAAACAAGTCCAAGAAGCAAAAGACCAAGTCCAAAGTTCGCAAGAAGAAGACTTCCAGCAATTCATCCATTCCAGCTTCACATGATGATGGAGGTAACTCTGACGTTGCACCACAGCACACTGTGAGAGAGGAAACTGAAATACCCATTCCAATTTCGGCAGCAGCTGCACAAGAGGAGAGAGTTGGGGACCAGTTGATTCAAGCACATGAGGCTCTCCGGGAAGAAAGACAAGCTCTTGCAGAGATGGAGATGGATGCTGATGTGCCTCAAGCTGAACCTGCATCATCTTCGAGACCGGTGATGATTCCAACAGGTCCAGCAAAAGCAAAAGCGCAACCAACATCCTTTTTTGCTGCCAGTATTGGGCTTGATGATGTGGGAATCGCAGTGACAGCAAGGTCTTCTTGCCATTTTTGTGGCAACAAAATTGCAAAGGGCACTATCAGACTCAGTTGGTACCACAACACACGAAAGCCAAGCTCGTGGCTGCATCTTGGGTGTGTAGCCCCTCTTATCCTCAAGTCTGATCTGAAATCGGCTTCACTAGAAAGATTGGATATGCTCATGGCAAAGCCAAGGATTCCTGAGCATGAACGCAATTTGATCTTAGCAGCCCTGAAGAAGATTCGAGCATCCTTACTGTGATGTGTCCTGTGCCATGTTTCATGTGCTTTGAGTCGTAGCCTTACTGTTGCATTGGTAGAAGCCACTTGTGAAAAGGCCAAGGTCAAAAAGTCAATAGTCAATGGTTGATTTACTAATGTGTTTTTTGCTTTAAGAAGTGGATCCAGGACGCATGCTAAACTGCAGTGTTGTCTGGCAGTGTTTCCCAACAGCAACCAACTCTTGGTGGTGAGCTAATGGACAAAGAAAGCCACAAATGCCAAAGGCATTTCAAGACCTAAATGAGTGAATGGTTTGCTGTTCAGTCCATCAGATCACATCACAGAGTTCTCTCATTCACCTTGTTCACCACCATCGTTTGAAAGAGTTTTGGCGCTGTGTCCATCTCCACCCTTCCTATCCAGGCACATCCTCTGCGACTTTTACATGGCAGCATTTGAATTTGACATTTTTGGCATTTGCCAGAAGTTCAGTGGTTGACCATGGGTTCATCATTCAACCAATCCCTGTACAAGGTAGTTTTTGTGTCCTTATCCTGGGTGAAGCCACTGCTGAAAAGAACATACAGGTCATACACACCACACTCGATACCATGTATGTACTGGACAGGAAGGGATCGCAAATTCAGTAGTCAATACGGTCAATACGACATAGCACTCTGCTCCTTGAGGTTGTTTGTTGTGCAGAAAGCCTCCACTACAGGCTCAAAGGGGCCAGTGACAAGTTTAAATTTGAGGCTGGAACCTGCAAACATGCAGATCGAAACAACCAGCCAGTGCCAGGTCTTGACTTTGGGGCCAAAGGCCAGCCGAAGCTGGAGAAAGCAAAGTGCTTCACATTCCCGGGACTCTAACCTTGCTGGTCTTGGTTGGAAACACTTGATTGATTCACCTCAGATTCAACTTTAACCTTTCATGGCCTTCCCCTCTCCCGCAGACTCCAGCGGAATGGATGCTCTATGGGAACCTGCATGGAGAGGAGATTGGCCTGGCTACAATCCCAGGCTACCACATCATTGAGGTCAGAGTTGAGTATGCTGGCTGCACAAAGGCCCAAAGGCATTGCAGTGCATATTCAACTTGCATGATTTTTGTAATTTTGACACTGCTCGAAACAGCATCCATATTCCTGAGCAGTTACAAAGTTACACCATTGCCACTTGTTGCAAAGCTTAGTGACGTGCTGTTATTGGCAGGAGTTGCAGGTGCAAAAGTAGTTGAGGCTACTAATTGTCAGTTTATGTACATAGGCCGAGGCCATACTGTATACTGTAGTTTGTTCAAGGCACTATCAATTTCTCTCAGCGGGCTTTCATTCACTAAAGTCCAGCCCAGTCCAGTTTTTTGTGTGTTCCGTGTTTAGTGTTTGTCTTTTGTTGGGATTTGTGTGAGCTGAGTTCTCGAGACTGGGGAATGCCCCAGAGCCGATCACGAGTGTACTTCATTCTTTGCAAGTGTGAGCTTGCTTCCAAAGAGAAGCTGGTGCAAGTTTTCCACACAGTGCTTAAGGAGCGACTGTTGCCATTGTTCAAGTTCCATGGACGTGCAACTGTTGCACAATGCCGGGACTACGTGAGCAAAGTGCTTGAGGCAATGGAGTGGAGGCCAACTTTCCCAGTTCCATCCCAGGACCCAAATTGTTGAACTATTTGTAGCGTTCAGTGTCAGCATCGGTTTGGTGTGCAAATGCAAACAGCATATGGTTGTGCTTGAGTTGTGCAATGCCAGCAATGTGCAAAAACATGACTGTAAATTGTTGACCTCATGTCAGCTTAGGGTGCAAACAAGCCGTCAGCATTCAGCATCATATAATCAATCAATTCATATCATATCATATGATTATATGATGCTTAAACTGAGATTTGTTCAATTCACCTGGCACGGTATGAATGAGGGATCTAGTGACATGATGGCCACTCTGATGGCCAGTTTTCTTGTTGTTGCTTAGGCCACATCTTGGAAAACATGCCTTTGCCTACCCACATTCAACTGCAGATCCTTTTTGGGACTGTATCACTGCATCACACACAACCGATGGTTTCCCATTGTTAGCAATGCTGCTTGGCCAGGCAACTTGCCTGAACATACAGTATACAGAACCACACAGTATGCAGGTTTTGAGAGGGTCAAGGTGAGAGATATGTAAAGATTGTATTTTATGGGGTTGATGTTTGGACCATCCTCCTTCCCTGTTGCGCTCCTCATCCCCTCCTATGTCCTATCCTTTGCCTTTTGTTCTTTGATTTCTGTTCTTTTGAAGTGTGGCCCTGGCCTTCCCAGTGATAGTGATACTGTATCAGTGATACCATGATACCATACCCTGATATAAAGAAGCTTCTTTGAATCACATCAATCAGACATATGATATGACAATGTATCTATCTATGAATCATAATGTGGCCCTATCCATCATCAAATCAAATCAACTGACATTCAGATTCACATATCAGTGGTCGAAGTGCATCATGATAATGTGGGCCCATGCCCACACAGACAAACAGCATATACACAAACACACGTGTACAAGGCAGCATACAGCCCATACAAACAAAAATGCAAGGCATAGATAGGCATAGCGCATGGGGTGTACCTCATTCATGGTGTAAGGCACTGCACAAGAGCAGAATTAGAGTCGTGAATACTCCGTGTGTGACATGTGGAAACTATCAGGAGGCTCAAGGCTGAACCTAAACCCCAACTCACTTCCAGTTTAACTTTTGATTGAATGCAGGGATAAATAATCATATGAGGTCGACTGTCAAACGTGTTTGTTTAAGTACATGTGACATGTGACTGACCTTCTTATTTTCCTGCCATGATGCCAACCACAGCATCAGCAACATTATGTGGCCAACACTACATTTCTCCCCTCTCTCACTCCTTCTCATTTTGCTCTGAGTTGTTTAACTTCAATGATTCATTGGCTCGTTTAGTCTTTACCATTGCCATTGCCCATTGCTTGAAATTCCCTACCATATTAATATTAGTTGTCGTCCTGGATCTCTTGAAATTCTTTCCGCCTGGACTCGACCCCCAAACCCTGGAAAGGTTTTGCCTATGGACCATGGACCTCTGGAGGAACCTGAGTCACCTGTTTGGCCCAACCTTGGAACCAACCAGAAAGAAGAACCCTTTCCAGGGCAGGTGCAACACGAGCCCCCGAGCTTTCCCCGCGGGTTCTGGAAGTTCTCTTTAATGGAATCCTAGGGCAGTCGGACTATTTCGGACTATTTCGGACCATCAGGACTATTCTTACCAAAAGGCAGGACTATTCTTAAATTTAAATGCTGCCTACCTCCTGGCATGTAGGATGGCAAGCGATCTCCTGCTGTGGAAGACTTGGCCAAAAAGACGAAGAAGCAAATGAGGATTGGTAAGCCTGGTGGCCCCCCGCTCTACACGAGCATGAGTGGCGTTGATGTGTCCAAGCTCCAGTTGAACAAGAGGGAGGTGGAAGCCCTCAATCTCAATTTTGCTTCTTTGTGGGTGCCTTTGCTTGTTTTTGTCTGGGGGGGGTAGAGTGTGAAAGGATATTGAAGGGTCCAATCCAAAGGTAATTGACAGTGGAAGGAAGAAGGACAAAAGTAGGAGCTTTTTAATTTGCAACTTTCGAAGACCATTCAGACCATTCGTTCACTAAAGAAGGAAGTGGGGCATATCATAATGGTACGACTTCACTGTGACACAAACAATTATATACTAATCAACAAAACCAAGACAAGACATATAAAGCAACCAGATTAAAACAACACAAAACATACCATAAGCTGAAGCTATTGGTTTTGTATTGTATTTATGTCTGAGTGTTCTTAGGTTTATATGAGAGTACATAAAGGTGCTAAGAAACCGCTCTAAACCGCTTAGAGCCGTTTCTACCAGATGTTTTAGAAATAGCTCTAAACCGCTCTAAACCGCTCAGGACTATTTCTAAGTGGTTTGCAGGGGTTCTGAATTTAGAAACCGCTCTAAACCGCTCTAAACCGCTCTGGGACTATTCTGAAAATCCATGGTGGAACAAGATGAAGGCCTATGGAATAGTCCGGAGCCGTTTAGAGCCGTTTAGAGCTATTTCTAAATGCTGTTTTGAAATAGCTCTAAACCGCTTAGAGCCGTTTCTAACATGTCCATGTAAAAATGACATCGCCAGCATCGTCAACACTTACTTATCACTTATCTTACTTATCTTATATATGATATATATTGAGACTTGACTTCTGTGTCTAACTGTCTAATTGTGACTATGACCATGATGGTCACTATGACTATGGACTATGGACCAATGATGATGTGCTGTAGCTGCTACACACTGACTATACAATCAAACTTACACTAACTGTCCCTCTACATCTGTTGTTGACTTTATGGAGTTTGACTTTACACTTATTACAAGATGTAGTAAAACAACAAAAAAACAGCTGGCGCTAGTATAAATGAAATGCTGGTTATGATATAGATTAAACATCTACCTATTCAGAATACAAGATAGACTATGACTCTGACTCTGGCTTTTAAAGTTACAGTTGTATTAACCATTTTCAGGTACCATGATCAATGTTCGGTACCATCACCCATGATCAATATGTCTAAGGTATCTGGCCATAATGTGGCAGAAGATGAGTGCTTCACAGATTTGGCCCGTGGGAAGCTTAAAAGTCTCACTGTATGTAGTGATGTGGCCCTATAACTGTTCCAACTGTAGTGGCAGTGGCACGCATGCTGCTACACAGTACTGCTGTACTGCTCATGTTAATGTTTGTTAATGACTGACTCCAATGAGAAGCAGTCAAGAGGATTGGGCTTTGCATTGCGTTCGATCTGTTTGCTGAGGCAGCTTTGGCCGCAAGGCCATAACTACTCATGGCTCTCTCTCAGCTCTCTCCACTTCAGTCAAGTTGTTTGACTTTGCGAAGCAAGATGTGCTTTGCTCAGAGGACAGCCAGAAAGCTTGATGTTGTTAATTCTGCGCACCCCTTCTCTTTCCACTTTGCTGAGGGACATGTTGGAGTGCTGGACCTTTGATTT